CGGCCATTCGACACCTATCCTCTGCCTGAGAACGAATATGTCGGTGTGCCGTGTAATCCGCGGGTATCAGAGACTCGCTGGTTGTGATCCTCGTACCGCGTAGCGCCTTGGGGCATTGGGGGTGGAATGTTGTTGTCCGCGACGCTAGGAATCTGGAGTCCAGGAAGGGAGTTCACATCCTCGGGCCCGTTATCCGTCCCGAGCCAAACCCGCTCGGGATGTGTAGCGGCTTTTCCGTCGTCGGGATTCAGACTCTGGCTTGCTTCCCCGACGCCTGTGTGCATCTCGATGTCGGCTGAAGGCCCTTTAGACGTTGCGCCTCGTCAGCCTGCCGATAAAAGGGGCACGCCGATAGTGCGACGGATCAGCGTGATGGACTCTCTCTGCGTCGTCAACCAGGGCGCCATTTGCCCCAAGGCTTCAAGCGTCTCTGGCTGCGTGACGCAGACTGCAGATATCATTGCGCAATAGTCTTGACGCATCTATGCTGCACGGCGGGCAGATCCCATGCGTTGGTGAATCATCGGTCCTATCAATTCCCCTAAACGACAGGGTTGCAAGTTGTCCATTTGTGGGGGACAGGTAGGCTTGTCGTGCATCCACCGCCAGTTTGATATTCATTGCGTGTTGAAATTGGCGTCCGGGGAAGCGAAGCTCCGGCTGCATCAAGGCTTGAAACGAGGAAGCAATAGCGCCTCTCTTTCGTATGCACTGTCGATTGTGTCACCAGGCATTCGTCTGCGCATCCCCGTTTGTCAAGGAGGCTGCAGGCAGAAGGCCGATACGATGGTAGAATTGTGGTCGACTCGAGTTGGCTTTCGGACATGCAGTGGAGTATCATCGTCCGGGACGGGGTCCGGCCCCTGAGCGAGGGTTTGCAAATAGACAGCGGATTTGTCTTCCGGTATTTCCAACCAGTGAGTTGGCACAGGCCGGCCTTCTCTCCGCGTCAACCTCTGGTCCCTGAAGCCATGTTCTTGAAGGAGCCAAGCAAGAGCCTGATTGGTCGCTCAAGGAGCTGATAATCTGGCAACCCCGCGTTCCAAGTCGTTGCGTGAGTCTCTGCCCAGACAGCGCGACGAGTTAGGCTCGAGCTGAATGAGATGTTCCAAGTTGTTGGTTATCTTGGCTACCTTACGTTAGCGTAAGGGCAGTGCCGGGTAAATGTGTTTCAGCGACCGGAGAAGCGGGACGACATCGAGGTGCGACGGCTGGAATGGGCGTCCGTTTGGGGCGTGCCGCGTTGGGCGACGAGTGAAGTTCTCTCGCAGCATGCCGAGCTCCGTAAAGATGGGTATTCGTTAGCAGTATCCGTACGTGAGGTAGGTACAATAGATAGCGACAAAGTTGGAGAGCATGAGTGCGGCTTTGAGGCAGACAGCCCCAACGGCAGGTGACGCCCGCCAGAGATAGGCTAGGCACCTACCGTTTCTCCCCAGAGTGGAAGGAAGCACGCTGGAAAGAGCAAACGGAGGACAAATTCCGTCAATCAGCATTGCCGAAAGGCGCCAGGTCAGTGGTTTCCTTGGGGGGCCGGGGGGCCAGACTGGGGAAGCAAGGAAGGGGGTGCACCTTATCCGTACCTGGTTGGAGTCTGGGACAGGAAGAACAGGAAGGACAGCAGGATCTGAGTTGTTTTGTGGCGGCTTCACAATGTTCCCTGGTAGGTCCTCCGTAGGTGCAGCGTGTTGACCTTACTTTACCTTATCTGTGGGGAAACATCGAAAGATGTGCCCCAGACAGGGGATCCTCCGGGAAGTACCTTCCACGTCTCGGTGCCCTGGCCCGAGCACCGGCTCCGGAGTGGACGTGGGCGTGGGCGTGGACCCCTTCCTTCTCCTTCCACGCTCCTCCTCGTCGTGGTCGTGGACCGTGGACCGTGGTCGGCTTGACTCTGGTTGAGTGAGTATCCGTAGTGTCTCTGACAGTCATGATTGATCTCCCGAGGCCAGGCCCGCCAGACAGCCCAGCCCTGCAAGTCCCTGACTTGAGCTGGCAGGGCATTCTCGGCGCAATATGCCCTGCCCTGGGGCACTCCATCTCCAAACAGACTGGACATGGACCCTCCCAAGGCCCCCGAGCCCCAAGCTCCCCAACCCCAGAAATCAGGGCGTGATAGCTGGACAGGGGTCTGGGAAATGGCGACATGGTATGTATGGTCTCGGTGCTTCCTCTTTCCCAATCTGAACTGGATTCTCACAGCCCTCTCAGCCGTTCTTGTCTCTGGCAATTTGCTTTTCTCCGCTTGGGATTCAGCGCACAAAAGATCCGCCATGCGCATGAAGGGAGCGATGAATGGGAACGACGCCCTGCAACTGCAGCCGCCATCACCGAGTGGCGTGTTTGTTCACACCTTGCTCACCTACGGATACCTTACCTACCTTAGGTGAACACCTGGACCACAGCCCGTCGTCGCTCATCCTCCGATAGCACGATAATCATTGAATGGCCATTGCCTGTGCCTGGTTATCCTTGCCTTGCCGCCTCAATCAGAGCCCTCGTTTCTTCCCCATGGCACCCATCTTCCCCCGGACCCCAAATGGTGGCGGAAAACCCGACATTCTAGTATATGCGCGCAAAGGAGCCTCCGCCGCCAACCATGTCGCAACCTCGCCAGTTCCAAGAAGCGAGTTATTTATTAGCAATATGGCCCCAGATCACCCCATTGTGTCTTCATTTCCTCCCTCCGAGCGTCCCGGCTTCCCCGTATAGGCAACCAGAAGGGAAATCCGGCTCGCTCTCCACGCTCGCTGTCGTCTCCTTTACGCTATTCCTTCTCACTCCCGCATCTATCCGCCGCCCATCGTCCAATTGGGCCCTCTCCCAACCCCAGCCCCAGCCGTGTTCCCCCAGACACATCCTCGCAACGGTGTGGCTTTAGTACCCGCTCCCTCACCATCCTCGCCACGCCGCAGTCGTCCTGGACCTGCATCGATACGAGCCAAGCTTCCATGGGCACATCGCCTCGATGCGAGGACCAACCAATCCAACATTCGACCGCTGCTTCTTCCCGGCCTTCCTTAATTTGTTTGGCGTCAGGTCCGTTTGATTGCTCCAATCCCCCAAGAATAACCAATCTGAAGCAACCCTGCGAGTGACAGTGTTCCAGTTGAGCACTTGCACTTCCCGAATTGAATTCCGACATGCCGTGTAGTTTGTTTCCCCGGGAAGTCAAGATGCCCGGTATGCCTAGCTGCAATGCTGAGGATATAGCATGACACCACCTTCCATAGGGGTTCATCCGATTAATCTCCCTCGCTCCCGGCCATGTGTGCACACCACAACTGCCTCACCGGCTCCTTCGCAACACCATCTCGGCTTTCACTGGCAACTCGGTGAACACCTTTTCCCGCCTCGGTCGCCCGGTCTATTGAAGGCCCCCACAATCTAAGATCTTCCGGTATCTCCATTCCGGAACCCGTAGCGAGTTGCCCCTTGTGCGGGGTGCATTTCGTTCTGCGAATATGCGGCGCAGGTTTCAGGGAATTGCGGCCCGGGGAAGAACGCTGATCTCCATGTCGGGTAGCATCGAAGGCAGCGAACGCAACTCACTATCTTGCCGGATCTCTTCGCCGACCCGGCGTGGGTTGACACACTTGCCGACGAGCCTCGGAATCGGATAGCGTTTTGCTCTGAATCTGTCCCAGCAATTTGGGTTCCTCCCGAGTGTGCGTTGCATCCCAATTTGAAGCAATATATGATAGGAGTTCGTCCAAAATAAGTAATCCGGATCTGCGGTACGATTTGAACGATGGGCAAGGGTTTTCCGTAGGCCATATCGAGAAATCCCTCCAATCTCTGAGAGCGCGCCCAGTTGATTCTTGCGTGAACTCGCTACTTTGACCCGTTCTAGCATCGGAATGTCCTCCGTCAAAAGAAGGCGAGGAGACTCGTTTCTAATGTTCTCCTTGAGAAAGTCATTCGGCTCCTTTATCCGATACACCAAGAGCTTTCAGCAGCCTCTAGGTCAACTTAACGACTTGTTGATGTCACTGAGCTGCGCTTCAAATCTGGGGCTTATGTCCTCGAGGATGGCAAGCGTGTAAGCGACGCAGCAGGCTTTGAAAATAAAGTTACCCAGGGATGCCTTTCAGTCCGGAGAGATGTGGAATACGGAGGCCAGGTCTACAGAGCTCTCTAAGTGCTCTTTCCAACATAATAGTTCCGTCTACGTAGGTACGATTAATGATGTGAAGTGAACGGTGTGTTGGCTGATGCATCTAAGATTCTCCTTGCAACAGTATGCTTTTTTTTTCTTTTCATAAAAAAAACCAATTACGCCCAAACTTGTAACGCCATGTGCTTGTCTGGTCATGGAGCAACGGCGTCATTTACGCAAGCCACGGGTGTCGTTCAAGACCCCCCGGTAGTAGGTGCCGTTCTTGACGGAAATGGCAAGAAGGAGCAAAGCCGTGAGGCCTTCAGCAGTTGGGTTGCGCCAACCGGCAGGAGAGGTCTCGAGAGTCTTTCTTGGAGAGACGGGATCTTTCCCATACTGTGGTCCCTTGATACCGGATGGTCTAGTTACCTAGCTACACCCGTCACTTTATTGCAAGTGACTCTTCGTTGATTGCGAACGGAAGGTAGCTGCTGCCTCACATAATTCGCAGGTGGTGCCGCGGAAGTTACTTGCTTTGAGGAAAGAATGCTGGACACCTTCTGCTATAAAAGTGATCTTGCCGACACATGTGCGCTTGCTTTTCAAAACCACGAATCGTTCTCGCCTCCGTTGAGGCATCGTGCCCGGACGTACCTGCCAGACATGTGTTTACGTCGTCCCTCTTCGTCGTCCTCGACCATCGTCTCTCTCGTCGTCTTCTCCCTTCATCATCGACAATACTTCAAAGACTTGCCTCATTCGCTGATACTTTTTGGTCTATACGGGTAAGTCTACACATTGCCGAGAGCTGTCAAGCCACTAACAGCTTTTATCACAGACAACGACTCTCCCTACAAACACACACATCACTCGTTTACAGCGTGCTGTCCCGATAGCAACCATGAGAGAGCTTCCCCCTCTGCAACTTGACGGCATCGAGTCCGAGCGAGAGGAGGAGATGGAGATTCAGGCCGAGAACGACGCTGAGAAGTCGGCCGCCAAGGAAGAAGAGGATAAGGGAGCTTTCGACACGCTCACGGGCTTCTTCCAGCCTCAGACTAACGCTCCGCCCAAGAAGCCTAAGCATCGCCGCATCAGGTACCGCTTTCTCACTCCATCAGAGTGGGCCATCTTCGCTCATGGCATCGGTGGCGTCAAAGACACTGAAGGCCACGTCGCCCTCCATCCCACCTGCTGGTACTACCCGCCCAAGGGCATTCCCAGCGGTCTGTACCGAGACGTTATCTGGCACCGTACCAAGTACTTCTACTTCTATCACGGCATGAGCACCATCCGCTGGTTCGGATACATCTTGCAAATCATCTTGGGCGCTGTCCTCACCGCCATCGGCTCCATGTCCTTCAAAAATGGTACACCGATCACCATCATTGCCGCGAGCAACACTATCAATGCTGGCATTCTCGCCCTTCTGCACAACAGTGGCCTGCCCGACCGCTACCGCTCCGACCAGGCGGAGTTTAGCGAAGTTGAGGACCACATCAAGAAGGTTCTCGACACTGGTGTTGTCCCCGAAGACATGACAGTTGATCAGGCCCTCGTCCAGTGTTTCGATCTCTACTGGGAGGCCAAACAAACAATTCAAGCCAATATTCCAGCGGTGTATACCCCGAGCTCAGTTCTTCAAAGCGGTCAACGGGCTCCTGAGAAGGGCCAGAAAGAGGGTCAGCCTGGCACACCGGGACAGGCACCAGGCAATACCGGCCGCGGCTCAGTGATTGCCTCCAGGGTTTCTGCATCAGCCTCGGCAGCCAATGCTGGAGCCGGAGACAAGGTTAAGGAGAAGTAGAAAAGAAATCGCAGTTACATTTGAGAGGGAGCATTCTGTTAGAAACTTGCATTATCGATGAGCTTCAGTTATGCACGGGAAGGAACGGGGGATGTCAATGAGTGTTCGTGCTTTTTTGGAGGCAACAAAAAGTGGCCATATATCTTAGTGAGAGGATAACCAACGTCTGGGTTGGAATTCGTAATAGTGGCAGAGGAGTCACGATAATGAGAGAACTTACGGTATGGCTGGAGTTGAGTTGAAGTTAGTTGCTGTTGGCAAGATTCCTCGGTGCAGTTTGTCACCGAATGACTCACCGCCTTCGGCAGAATACATGGACCCACTGAAATTTCTCTCGCAGACCTGTAGTACCTTTGACTTCAGTGACAGATCAAAGCAAAGCCGACCCAAAAATTGTGAACGCTCAATCGCATTACATGTCTGCATGTTGATTCCGTATATACGAGGAGGTATTCGCCAAGGCACACGCGCTGCGAGCCGGCTACTACGACAACCGCTCCCATTGAGGACATCCGGTCTATTGCGTCGCACGGATTGCTCTGTCGCATCTCATACTCGTCTCATTTTGAGGGGCAGCTTTCCTTCAGCCAGACGGTGCAGCACCCAAGCCGGCGAGGACCCGAAAATTGAAAAGATGGGCGCGGAAGACCCCGTCATCACTTACGATGGCAAGGAGTTCAAGGGCGTGAAGGAGGGCAAAGCCACCATCTTGGTCCCTGCTGAGGCCGCGGGAAAGCAAGGGAAGCAGCAGGTTTTCTACAACCCGATCCAGCAATTCAACCGCGACCTTTCAGTTTTGGCCATCAGAGCTTATGGCGAGGAAGTGGTCGAGCGTCGCGCGGCACAGCCGGCTTCCAAGCGCAAGGAGAAGAAGAGGCGGCGCGCCGCAGGAGACGACGGCGGCGACAGGCCGGCCAAGGTTCAGGTAACGGACGACGGCAAGCCGGCGGAGACGACGAACGGCGAAGCGCAGAGTGCGCAAACAGAAAGCGGCGCTGCTAACGATGCTAAGGCCGAGACGGAGGAGATCGCACCCCCGGGCGCGACCGAGCCTCAGGACGCCGAAGACAAGTCCGCTCCCGAGAAGAAGGCCCCCAAGTTCACCATCCTCGATGCCCTGTCGGCCTCTGGACTACGTGCGCTGCGCTACTCGCATGAATTACCGTTCGTGACGTCCGTCACGGCCAACGACTTGACAAAGTCCGCTGTCGAGTCGATCAAGCTGAATGCGAAGCACAACGGGCTGGACGACAAGATCCAGGCGAACCACGACGATGCCATCGCCCACATGTACAGGCGCATCGCGGACGACCTCTCCAAGCGCGACCGCTTCGGCAACCCCAGCAAGGAGAACAAGTACGATGTCATCGATCTCGACCCTTACGGAACTGCTGCCCCGTTCATCGACGCTGCCGTGCAGGCAGTCAGGGACGACGGCGGTCTGCTCTGCGTCACCTGCACCGATGCCAGCCACTGGGCCGGCCACTGCTACGCCGAGAAGAGCTTCTCGTTGTACGGTGGTGTCCCCATCAAGGGTCTTCACTCTCACGAAGTTGGTCTGCGCATCATCATTCACGCGTTGACGACCGCGGCGGCCAAGTACGGTCTGACCATCGAGCCCCAGCTGTCGCTGTCCATCGACTTTTACTGCCGCATTTTCGTCAAGGTCCGCAAGTCCAAGGACGCGGTCAACTACCAGGGAGGCAAGACGATGATTGTGTACAACTGCCCTGGCTGCTCGGCATGGGAGACGCAGCCTATGGTGCGGACTCGCCCGTACCCCAAGAAGAAGGATGGATACTTTTACAAGCATGGCCTGTCTCAAGGTCCTCCGACGGACTCACACTGCCAGCACTGCGGCTCGGCACAGCATATTGCCGGACCGATGTACGGCGGCCCATTGCACAATGCGGAATTCATTGAGCGCATTCTCGATCTCATTCCCACGGTCGACAAGAGTGTTTATCAGACGACCACGAGAATAGAGGGCATGCTCCAGACGGCCCTCGAGGAGTACATCCCTGGCCCGGAGCCCGCGGAAGCGGTTGATCCCAAGGACAAAGAGCTTGCGAGGATCGACCACTACCCCTTCTTTGTCATGCCCAGCAAGCTGGCTGGCACGCTCAACACACAGCAGCCTCCTGATGATGTCTTCAGGGGCGCACTGAGGCACCTCGGTTACCGTGTCACGCGCAGCCATTGCCGGCCTGGCAGCGTCAAGACGGACGCGCCATGGGAGGCTATCTGGTTCATCATGCGGGAGTGGGTTCGCCAGAAGGCCCCCGTCCGCACCGACAAGATCAACTCGCAGATGCCGGCATACACGCTGCTGGGCCTGAACAAGGCCGAGAAGAACGGCGATGCCAAGTCGACCGACGAAATCAAGGAGACTGAAGAAGCCACCACGACTGAGGCTAAGAAGGCTGAGGTGACTGAGGAAGGAGACAAGACGGACGTCGAGATGCAGGACAGCACGGAGGAAACGGCGAAGGCGGCGGAGAAGGGCGAGGAGAAGGCGGCCTCGCAGGAGGAGCTGCGGAGGACGCTCGTGTTTGACGAGAAGCTCGCGCAGCTGGGTAAGCGCACACAGGGAAAGAAGTTGGTCAGATACCAGATGAACCCGAGAGAGAACTGGGGCCCGATGACGCGAGCCAAGGGGCAGTGAGTGTGATGGACGAAAGCGAAAAGAAGAAGCTGGGGTTGTTTAAGTCGATACTTTTGGAGGCAGAACAGAATACCAGAGTTGAAGCAGAATTTTAAATTGCGAGGTAAACCTCTCACCCGCTTGCCCTGCCCTGACCCTGCGTCATTTCCGTCACTGCTGGAGCCTTCGAAGTTGACAAGACTGGAGACGCTGACCCTAAGCTCGATAGCCATGTCGAGATGCCATTCTCGTTCGGCGCCCCTCAACCAAGCAAGCTCCGGCGCCAACGGACAAGGTCAACAGATTTCCTTTCTCAGAACTTGGCGAGACTCTTCGGTTCGCAGCGGTCCCCCACCAGGCTGCGTGAGGGTGGGCTTTTGGCATCGGCTTCGCCCCTCCCCTCGCCCCTCGCGACCCGCATGGGTAAGCTGCGCAACCAAAAATGGCGCGCGCCGCATAGTCCGCAATCCAGCGCCAACATACCCCAATTCAGATTGAAGAGGTGGGATGGCCGAGTGGTCTAAGGCGACAGACTTAAGTTCTGTTACTCGAGAGAGTGCGCGGGTTCGAACCCCGCTCCCATCATTTTGGCACCTATATACTTTTGTTTCGATGGTCAATGTCGTTGGTTTTTTGTTTTGGCTCCTGTCCGCCATGTTTTCTGGAGTTGCACGCAATTGTGTGCTGTTTTGTGAAGGTGCGTTGTGGACGGCCGGTTTTTTGTTCTGGCGGGCCATGTCTGGTGCTGAGGCGGCCTGTTGTGACTCGCTGCGGGCGTCGGGTGCCGTGACTGCGATTGGTTCGGCGACGCTGGCCGCTGACGGGCACAGATTCCAGCGGCTTAGGGACCCAAGATAACGGGCAAGATTGCGAGATCTACCCCGCCTGGGCAGCCGCTGCAGCGGGCGACTCACTACAAACACCAGGGTCGGGTCTGCCAGAAATAACGCAATCAGCGGGCGGATGACACACTTGACAGGCACATGCCGCGCAACCGGACCTTTGGGCTGCATGCCTGCTTACAATTCCCACTCTCGCTGCGGCTTCCTGTTCGTTCGCTCGGAATTGGACATCGGAGGTACCTTACCTTACCACTAGGGCTTCCAGCGCAGCCGGCTTATTTTTCGACCTCACACCGAGACATTGCTCCGGGTCCCAGGGATACCAGAGATACCGGCACCTGCCTGAACGGGCTGACGGTCTTTGTACTGTCTCGAGTGGCTGCCTGGGAGCTACCTAGGTCCCGATCTCTACTCTCAACCTGCCGGCGATAACTTGCCATCCACAACTGCAATCAACTAAATTGGAGACAGGAATCTTGTTGGACAGCAGAGGCCAGAAAGAGTCATCCACTGCCTCCCCATAGCACGATGGATGTTGCAGAGCCTCTGGGTTTCGAGCCCCGCGACCACGGGCTGGTACCCCGCCGAGCCCTCGATGCCACCTTCGTCGATGGCAAGCTGAGCTTCACATCCCAGCGCGGCAGTGAATCCGTACGCCCGGAGGAGATTGTCTTCATCATCCCGGCGAATCCTCACCTCAGCTCGGGTCCCATCATCTGCGCACTGAGAGAGGACGCTGAAGCCAAGGAATTTCCGTATCAGCTGGATATCTTCTTTGTCGCCGGCGACCTGCCCCCAGAGCTCACTGACGGCCTCCTACTCTCGCAATTCCCCGACCACCTCAATCCTCAACCAAGCCGCCACGATGTTCACTTCATCGTTTCTACAAAGTCCGGCCTGGGCCATGCTCCGAAATTCTGGGACAATGTGGTCCAGCCTCTGGTCATTCTCGCGGATCAAAAAGCACCAGGCGGCATGTCATCGCAAAGCAATGGCTTGTCTGACAGGTTCAACGTTCTTATTACCAAAGACGCCGACAGCGTTCGCAACTTTGCAAAAGACAACTGGGCTTCAAGGACGCAAAATCAGCCGGGTTCTTCTACTACCAAGACCGAATTGATTGTTCTGATGAGTGGCGATGGTGGCGTTGTCGACTTGCTCAACGGATGCGAAGAAACGGAGACGCCGACTGCTCTTCCGACCATCGCCGTGCTGCCCCTCGGCACCGGAAACTCCAACTTCCACTCATCCCACAAGCCTCTCTACACCGAGAACGGGCCGTCGCACATGGTGCTCGGCCTCCGCACGCTCTTCTTCGGCACGGCCGCCCCGCTCCCCAGCTTCCGTGCCTCTTTCTCCCCCGGCGCCCGGTTGGTGACATACACTCCGGAACCTGACGCCGAGAAGCCTGAGGATGTCATCCTCCGCAATGATGGTGTTGACCACCTTTTTGGAGCCCTCGTAGCCAGCTACGGCTTTCACGCCCAGCTGGTCTGGGAGAGCGACACGCCTGAGTATCGCAAGCATGGAGACAAGCGCTTCGGCATGGTAGCGCAGGAGCTGCTCAAGGAGAGCCATGCGTACACCGCCAAGGTCGAGGTTCGAAGCCCGGACGGCGCTGCGCTGAAGGTGCTGCCGAGGGAAAAGTACAGCTATGCGCTGGCGGCGATGGTGTCAAACCTGGAGAAGACGTTTACGATCTCGCCCGGCAGCGGGCCGTTGCAAGGCCGGTTGAAGCTGGTTCACTTTGGCGCCGTGGGAGCGGAGAAGACGATGGAGATCATGATGGCTGCTTATAAGCAGGGCTCGCACGTGGGCATGAAATGGAAGGATGGGGAGCAGGAAGACTACGTCGGCTACGAGGATGCGGAGGAGATCAGGGTGACGATCGGGGAAAGCGATCCTCGCTGGCGCAAGGTCTGCATTGACGGGACCATCGTCGAAATACCAGAGGACGGTTGGATGGCGGTCACCAAGGTGAAGCATCCGCTGTTCAGCATTCTCGCCGATCGATCCATATTGTGAGGCGGATATTGTGGGCAACAGAAATACAGGCGGAGAAGAGACGGGCTAGAAACATGCAATAATGATTGAACGCACCTATCACGGATGATGAAAACAACTATCAATCCCAGAGAACCAAATATACCGACGATTACATTCAAAGTTGAGTCGGATCGGTGGAGAGATGGCTCCGTCCAAGTTCACAGCGGCGTACTCGGCGCCCGAACGGGACGGATAGTCGGAAGAGCGAGCGGCTAGGACGGGACGCCGCAGCAGGATGCGAAAGCTTCTGCCTGTTGATGCATGTTTCAGTCAACAGCCCAACCTTTTCCCGCACTTCGGGCGAACTTGCCAGTGAATCTTACTTGTTGGACTTTTCTGAGGTACGGAATGCCCGAATTACCCCGAATGTGAATGAGACCATTCCATGCTAGTGCGCCACAAAGCCCAGCCCAGTGACAGACACGAAGAACATGTGTACGCAGCGACACGAAGTCGGGACCGAGAGGTGTGGCTTTCAACCAAGGTTCCTGTCATCAAAGGAGACTCGGGCCCGATTTCAATGCCTCAGATGCCAGAGTCAAGTTCAGTGATGTCTTGTATAAATACTCTTCTAATCCACGACACCAAACGCTGGTTTCATTTCAACGTCTTCAATCTTGCCGACATTGCCTCTCTTTTCTCATAACAGCCGGTTCACAACTGAAGAAATGACCCAGCTTTACGATGTCATTGTTGCCGGCGCGGGCCCAGTTGGCCTTCTCTTGGCATGCGAAGTAGCCCTAGCAGGCGCATCCGTCCTCATCCTCGAACGGGACGCCAAGCCCGAGTCCGAGTGGAAAAGCAACCCCGTCGGCTTCCGGGGTCTCCACCTCCCCTCCATTGAGCTGCTCTACCGCCGCGACCTCCTCGGCGAGCTCTACGACCTCACCAACCGGCCCCACAAACCCCCGAAAGGGCCCGGGATGCAGTTCGGCGGCCATTTCGCAGGCATCCCTCTGAACCTAAACCAGCTCGACCTGAATCGCTGGAAGTACCGCCTCCCGGGCCCATCGCTGATGCCAGGCCCCATTACGATCGACCGCATTGAGGCTGTCCTCACCGAGCGGGCGGAGAGCCTGGGCGTCACGATCCTCAGGGGTCATGGTTTCAACAGGATCGTCGAGGAGACGCAGAGCGGGATCACGGTGGAGGCGGGAGAAGAAGGGCAGAACTTCCGCGGGCGGTGGCTCGTCGGATGCGACGGCGGCCGGAGCGCGATCCGCAAGGCGGCAGGGTTCGAGTTCCCCGGGACGGAAGCGACTTTTACCGGGTACGTCGTCCACTGCGACCTGGATCATCCCGACAGGCTGGTGCCGGGGTTCGTGCCCACGCGGCACGGCATGTACATCTTCAGGAAGCCCGACATGGTGTACCTGATGGACTTTGACGGCGGCGCGGGGCAGAAGGCGGAGCACTCGCTGGAGCGGCTGCAGGACATCCTGAACCGCGTCACGGGCAAGCCTGACGACGTGCGGATGACCAAGATCCATCTCGCGACGCCGTTCACGGACCGGAGCAAGCAGGTGACGACGTACCGCAGGGGGAGGGTGCTCCTCGCCGGGGATGCGGCGCACATACACCCCCCTCTCGGGGGCCAGGGCATGAACTGCGGGCTGGGCGACGCTATGAACCTGGGATGGAAGCTGGCTGCCTCGGTCCGACAAGAGCAGCAAAGCCCTGACGGCAAGGCCAACTTTGAGTTGATTGATACGTATGAGAAGGAGAGATATCCGATTGGAGAGTTCGTCCTCGAGTGGAATCGGTCGCAGGTTGCGGCGCTGCAGCCGAACGAGACCGGGTACGCCGTCCAGAAGCTCGTCCGCGACCTGATCGCCACCGACGACGGCGCCAATCATTTCATCGACCGGGTCTGGGGCCTTTCGCAGCGGTATGATCTCGGCAGCGACGTGCATCCGGCCGCAGGGCGAAGCGCCCCGGACTTTACATTCAAGGACGGCACGAGATTGGGGCCCAAGATGGTGCAGGGCCGGGGAATGCTCATCGACTTTGAAGACGACGGCACGCTGAAGGATTTGGTCACAGAGAAGTACGAGAAGAGGCTCGACTACATCGGAGCAGACGTGGAGGATAGGCGCGGAATCCGTGCTTTATTGATTCGGCCAGACGGATTCATTGCTTGGGCAGTGGAAGAAGGTGCGCAAGTTGATGTTGATGAATTGAATGTTGCGCTAGAGAAGTGGTTTAAAATCTAGAAAGAGCAAGAAGTGTGGTGGTATCCGTCATGAACATTTTGTACTTTTAGAAGTTGGACAGTCTCCTCACAATCGGCCTCGAGGAGAGAGGCACGACCTCGCGCTTGTAGATTCCCCTCTTCAGCTCGGAACGGGCAGACCCGCAGCTAGCAAAGAAAGAGTCTCCCAGAGTCTGGCAGTCCCTGTCGGTGAACCTCGCCGGCAGTTTGGTGCAGAGCTCGTTGTCCTCGCTGAGGATGCCGCCGCGCTGGCTGCAGAGCTGGCGGCCGCCGGTCCTGATGACAGACGTGCTGAGGGTTGCTTTGCACTGGCATTGGATGGTGCCTTGTTGTGCGAGGCCGAGGCCGAAGCTATGAACTTTCGTTAGATACATGCTCGCATTACTGTGGTGAAAGGCTTAAACTTACCAGAGAGCGAGCATGATGTAGGAGATGATGAACTTCATTTTGAATACGGATTTCGGGTGTGATGTTTGAAGCTCTGCTTGGGTATCTTTGATTTGAACAAGTCGGAGAGGTGGATGGATGGAGCTGTAGAGAGAGTGTAAAGCTGCTGGTGAAGGGCAGATGGTGTTGGTCAGAGAAGAGCCGCAGATCTTTATACAAGCAATGCCGAGCCGGCCGCACGTTCATGATCAACCGGCTCAATTTGACAGCCCTGTCATCCCATCGTGTGGTCTAAAGTGGATTTGACTCGCGTCCGCCTTCCTCTCACTGGTCCTCCTGGTATCCAGGCATCCCGAATAAAGCACTGCAGTGGCGTTGTTGACGGCCGAAAAAGGGCTGAGAACGTTGCAAAGGAGGGGGAGAGAGCATCCCTGGTCGTCTCATGTCTGCTCAGTCCGCGTAAGCTCAATGGCAACGGCGACCAGCGACGGCATCAATTTTGGGAGGGGAGTCCAAAGTCGCTGGGCCGGCCTTGCTTGCCTCGAAGGGCTCCCTCGCGATAACCAGCAACACGGAGCCGCCGGCCGTACCAGTCGACGCAAGGCAGGGAGTTCCTGTGTGTCGCCCACATCCCGACGGTCAACCTCAGACGAACAATGCCAGATTTTGATCTCGTGTGGCTCGTGCAGCTTCATGGGAATGACGTTCGGGCTGACGTGGACTTGGCAGATGGGTGTTGTCTGTTGGCTAGGGCGACGTCTCAGGTTTCCGAGAAAGAGACAGACAGAAAAATAAAAGAGGGCAGACGGCCGCGGTAGTTGGGTTGGGGGGGTTTCAGGGTTTAGGGGTAAAGGGGGCGGTAACTTTGAAACTTGAGATGGCGTGCGGGACTCCACAAAAGAATAAAAGAACTCGCTCATGCAACCAACTCTCTTTTTGGCGTGTTCTTTAAAGATGGCAGATGCGGCGGTGCCATGGCGGTGTGGGATCTGGAGAAGAGCCGAGTGGTTCGTGGAGGATGACGACTGAGTTGCGAATTGAGTGTAAGAGCAATGGAGTGCCAAGACAAGCTTGTTTGTCGGTTGGCCTCGTTTAATTATAGAAGTCTTAATATCGAACCCGCCGAGCCTCTTGAGTCTATGTGCGGACTTCTGTGTTTTCTCTAGAGCTTAACGACTTGAGGGGTGAGTTCTAGGCCTGTTGTCGGGTTAAAACGATGCAGAGGCAAGACTTGGCCGTGAAGGTCCCATCTTGCTCTGCACCAACGGCACGATCAGCGTGAACTTCCTTGAAGCAATTGATACTTGCCAATAAATTTTCTGTCCTTATCAAAGAAGTGTCTTCCCACGCGCGGGCGTGCTGGGCTTTGCGAACTTGCACGTCGAATGGCTATTTATCTTGAGCCATGAATGATACGACCCCAAAGCCTTTCCATAAACTTGGCCAGCGGCTCCTATCGGACCACATTTAAAACCTAGTATCTGGATTCTCTGTCTCCCCTGCGATGAAGTATGGTCCACTTCGGATGAAGTCTTACTGGAGCGAGCGTACGTCTTGTTGCTAGTGACTTCGTGTCTGTTCGCAACGAACGCGAAGCGAAGGTTTAACAAACCTACCAACAATAGTTGAAATGAGCACGTTTCTATCGCCCCAAACTAGCTCTCGTTTTCATACACAGCATTCCTGACTCGATCTCGTTTGGACCCCTGGCTACTTGTTTATTTGATTGCAACCACTCTCGTGACGTGAGAATCAGCTTCGCGGTCCTGGATATCAGCTCTCTGCGAGATTCAGTCAGTAATCAACATTCGATTGCCTACTCAAATTTCTGTAATGATCATCAACCTGTTCCTTTCGGAGATCGCTTGAAAGAGCGAATGAGATGAATGCTAAAAGGAATGCTAGAGATTTGGGCCCTTCAAGACCAATGTCATGCAGAATAGGAAAGCACAACAAGGAGTTATGAATTTGATAAAGCGACTTCTGTGACGAGCCGATGAGAAATCTTGGAAACTTGCCCGCCTCCCACGTTGTATCTTGAGAATTTCCGACTCATTTATCGGCCGTCAACTCATTGCTTTAGGCATTCGCCTTGATTACACCGTGTTCGTCGACATGTTATAAATTTCAAGCTGATTCACTTTCATTTGATATCAAGAAAGGCTTATGATGGCCTTCGAATATGCGGTCAACAGAAATGATCTGGAATCGAACTCCTTGTCGTTAAAGATTATTTAATACGACCAAGTCACTAGATGTAACCTGGATAAGACGCGTTACCAAATGGGTGGCAAACACACACGCGTCGGGTCGAACCACAGATCAAGTGAACCTTGAATCAGGCTACCCTGAGATCTGTCTATCTATCAAGGCCTCGCTTGACTCACATTCCAACCTTTCATATACTGATCTGATCATGTCTTCCAGCAACAATCAATGACACAAGTCTCTGTAGCTTAGTCGGTAGAGCATCAGTCTCATGGTCTTCTTAGATGGTACTCTTAGATAGTATGAGGTAGCTGAAGGTCGTCAGTTCGAGTCTGGCCGGAGACAATTTCTTTTCCTTTTTGTCCCCTTAATTCTTTTTGATGATTTTACTTTTCAATGCTTTCTTTTTTATCAAATCATTGCAGGAAAGCAGCCAGGGGGACACAAATCATCCTCATGTGGAAGTGTTCATGGTCGAAAATCTACATGTTTCTAGGCATCTTGAGTCCATACGTAATCCATCCTCAACCGTCACCGAAGTCCCAAAACATCGTCATATCAATTGAACATCTCGACAGGCGATATGTGCGCAAGGCTTTCCGTTACTCACAATAGGCGAGTTAAATCGGTCACAATCCATGTTCACTGGCCTCCAAGTCAAATATGGTTTGGAGGTCTCGCGGTCTGCAGCGTCGGCAACACAAACCTCGACTACCAATCTGACGGCGAACTCAACTTAAATCAGGTCTTCACTGTATGGTATAATACCATGAACATGCCCATAATTCCTATTCTTGCAGGCCCTGGACTCTCAGAGGAGTCGAAACAATCTGGAATTTCTAATGCCGGGTTCGTCATGGGCGGCTTGGCGACATCGTGCTCCTTGCGCTGATTACACGGCATTTCTTGGTCCCAGGACAGACATGAGAAGGTTCCCGAGAGAAAAGCCCCATCCCCAAGACAGTGGCCCAGCGACTGCAACAAAGGAGGAGGTGCAGGCTGAATGATGGGTACTCTCGGGAGCCATCCGGATTGCGGGGCTGAAGGCGGAACCCCAAGTCCGGCGCGGGACCCGATCGGTGGAGATCCCTTAGCGGAGCCGGCGAATGAATCCGGGACTGAGGGACTTTTGATAACAAGGGACTTGTTGACAATGATATCTTGAATTACAAAAGGATCGGGATCGTTTGATTGTAACGGTAAATGTCTCGAACACACTCATTCATTCATTACTTAGCAGGTTGAGAACAACGACATCAACTCCAGAAATGACGCCTCAAAGGCATTCTCATTTCAATTTCTCAAAGTGCGGCGTCCCGAACCGGCATGATCACTACGAAAATGTGAATGGACACCATACCAGGTGATGTTGGATCGCGGGCCAGACTGCCGACCAGACGAGGGCCAAGTCATTCGAAACGAAACGCCCCTGAGCCCCCAAATAATCAGCGCCCCCTTTACGGGAATGGCGGTAGAATGCCACCCCAATTAGCGGCGATCGCCACCCGAAGTTCACGACAGAGGGTAGCATTTGGGAGAATATGGAGGGCAATCGCCGGTCCATTCTGCACATATCATCCAATTTACCTCTGCCATGGGAGCCGCCGGTCTGGCATTGTTCCGCATCCAGGCGACCTACAACCCCAAAGATGCCTGTCGCGTGGGGAACGCCACGGCGCGTTGACACGATCCTGTGACAGCAGATCCGTTTCGAGCGGCCCCCGGCTAGCCGGGCCAGCCTCTTTGTAGGTACGAGTAGCTAGCTGTGTTTGTCAGAATTGCAGCCACATGGCTAGAATATTTCCAAAACCTCTTCCCGCGGAAATATTTACTCAAGTCTGAAAGAAGCAATGAGAACCTAAGACACCACACGATTTTTCGTCTGAACTGCGGAGTTTAGAGACATACACGGCCCGGAAAACATGAGATCGTCCCGTGTACTACTTTGGCTATGGCTCGCGGTCTCGCAGCAACCAAGCCCGATTTTCGGTTATGACGGCAGCGAAGGTGACGCGCAGGTTCGCGATCGTGTCTGCGACTCGGATTCATGTCACGAGCAGAGCCATTTGGGAGTTCTCGACACAGGCGGCGACTTCCCCCTCGCCGACGGGGCCGTGCCGGATGGACTGGGCGATTCCGAGGAGATTCGCGTCCGATATGGAACAAGTGAGCGCATTGCTGTCTAAACTCACTTGAGATGAACACACCCCCGCTGACAATTTCACACAAAGATCTCAAATCAGAAGATGGGCTGTGGGAGGTTCGCCCCTCGCCAGGTAAGGGCCTCGGCATCTTTGCACGGCGCAAGATTCCCAAGGGCACGCGCATCATCGACGAGACGCCGCTCTTCACGGTCGACCCGGGGAGTCTGGTGAGCGGGCAGGGGTTTGCCTTCGATGCGATCGCGACGGCCGTCGACAGGGCCTTTGAGACGCTCAACGCGACGGCGCGGGCGGCGTATCTGTCGTGCCCGGAGCACCGCGAGATGGACGACGCGGCGTTCAGCCGGGAGGCGCTCATTTTCCGGACGAACGGGTTCACGATGGCTGGCGGGACTATCGGCATCTTTCCGCGCATCGCGAAGCTCAACCACGCGTGCACGCCGAACTCTGCAAGCGTGTCCGTCGACGGGAGGAGGATCATCTGGGCCGGAAGAGACATCGCGGCCGACGAGGAGGTGACGGTCACGTATGCGCCGCTCACGGAGACGACGGAGGCGAGGAGGGCTAGGCTTGCGCAGTGGGGATTCGAATGCAGTTGCCAGTCTTGCTCGGCGAGGGACGAGGGCGCAGGAGCTGCCGACGATTTGAAGAGAGTGGAGATGAAGAGGTTGATGGGGTTGATTGAGCGGGAGCTTGGGAGCGACTCATTTGGAGGAGACGTGTCGCCTTATGCGGAGAAGCTGGTGAAGCTTGTGGAGGAGGTCGGCCTGGTGGACTACCTCAGCAAGGCGTACAAATATGCTGCGTATGCCGCGTCACGAGCTGGGAAGTACGGCGCGGCGAGGAAGTGGGCGAAGAAGGAGTTGAAGATCCATGAGATTGCGGACGCGGAGTCGGTCTATGCCAAGGACACCAAGACCTTCATAGACTCACTTCCCCTGTTCTGAGCACAGCGCTTCAGAACTAATGCGCCCGTCACGACGGGCATCAAACTGAAGCAGAGACGACGGTTCGCCAAGCGGTGACTTAGATGAATTGAGTCACCCCGGCAGCTGCGACACCTCCGAGACGGGGAGGAAAGCGCCGAATGGGCGCCCGGGAAAGAGGGTCGGGGACGGCTGTCTTCGGCGTGACTCACATCACGGAGCGCAGCCCTGAAGCGCAACTGCAATCTGCAATCTGCATGCCACGGGAGTACGTACCGTCTAGACGTTAGCTAGTGCTGGAGCGACAAGTGCGACGACGCCATTGAGAGGCGATCGAGCACCTCCGGCTCTCAACTTACTTCCGTCGGCAACGGAGGGGAGGCTGAAAGATAAACAGCCTCGACCCTGGCCGACGATATAATCAATAAAATCTAGAGAGAGTCCTGCACCATCCGCAGCCGTGGTTCCATTGTGGACGGCTTCATCTTTCTCTTCCTCTGCGTGACTGGTCTGCAACTGGCTTGTTTTTGTTTTTGATTTGCCCATTGATCGCCATTGCCCAGATCCTTCTTTCGACTTGTACCGCAGCAATGACGTCCATCGCCTCCGAATCAGTGGCCACGATCCTCTGCACCAGCAAGCAAACGCGGTTCAATATACAGAACACGGACCATCGCGAGGTATCCCCTCATTTGTGAAGAAATACAGCTTTCGCAGCTGATCAATCTCCTGCAGTTGGAGGTAGACGGTCTCCACATCACCGTCACTTCAGGTTCGGGTACCAAACCCGGCGCCAAAGGCAAGTCCAAGGCGAGGAGCGAGGGAAGCGAGATTCTCGTTGATACCAAGCTGCATATCAAGGCCGGGCAAAGATATGCACTCATTGGCAGGAATGGGTCTGGCAAGTCGAGTGAGTTTAGCATGTCCGCATCCCAAGATCAACACTGACCCTCGCACCTAGCGCTGCTCAAGGCCATTTCCGAGAAGCTGATTCCCGGTATCCCCGAGGACACTCGGATATCCATTCTTCAGCAGACAGATGCCAGCAATACTGACACGGATATCCGGCCAAGCGATGCCTCGATTGGATCAGAGCAGCTCAGTCAGAGTTGCAGCGTCTTGGAGCATGTCATCGAGAAGGCAACCGCTCGATCAGATGTTGAACAGGATATAAGAGGTATGCATGGCCAAGTTCCTTTGCGACTCTAGCAAACTAAATGATAGAAGCCTTGTCCGATGGCATCAACAGCACCGATCCATACGCGACGGTCCGAGCGGTTCGTGCCCTTCGCCATGAGAATAACCAGAAGCGCCTCTTCCAGTTCGATAAGAATGCCAGGTTGCGAAGTGGTGATAGAGGACTGGCAGCTCGAAAACAACTAAAGGCTTTCGAGAAGACTGTCGCGGAGTCGCAGATCTTGTAGGTAGTCCCCCGGTTATTGGAAATCGTGAACACTGACATGGACCTAGGCTGGATCAACCGCAAAGCGACATATCCGCCGAGGTTCTGAAGTATGAGACGCAAGAGGCGCTGGACATGCTTGCAGACCTTCAATTGCAGGTTGAGCCATCCAAAGTTGCCGAAACCGAATCGAAAGCCAAGCGAATCTTGACGGGTCTCGGTTTCTCAGAGGCGTACATGTCCAAGCCCGTGTCAAGTCTATCCGGTGGATGGAAGATGCGGACAGCACTCTCAGTTTCACTTCTCCAGGAAACCGACATCCTGATACTCGACGAGCCTACCAACTTTCTTGACCTTTTGGGAATCATCTGGTTACACAAGTACCTCGAGTCTCTGCAAGATGACGACGATGCTCCAACTCTTATCCTCGTGTCTCATGACCGAGACTTCATTACGCTTTGCACCGATCTCCTCATTCTCAAGGACAAGGGGTTGACGTATTTTCATGGCGATCTTCCCACATATGAGGCGTCGCAGTCGGAGCGCAAGCTGTGGTTGACCAAGATGAAGGACGCCCAGGACAAGCAGAAGGCTCATATACAGCAGAGCATTACGAACAACATCAAAGCAGGGAAGGCGAATGATGACCAGAACAAGCTACGCCAAGCCAAGTCTCGTCAAAAGAAGCTTGACGACCGCTGGGGTCTCCAGGTCAGCGCAAAGGGCGGCAGATTCAAGCTCAATCGTGACCTCGAGGGGTACCACCTGACTGCTCGAGCCGAGATCGATATACCGCAAGACGAGCGGCCGATTTTTATTGACCTGCCCGAGCCTCCAGATCTGCGGTTTCCCGGCCCGCTGATATCGATGGAGAACGTGACGTTTCGTTACTCGGCCAAGGCGAGAGGAAAGATACAGACACCTGCCGTATTGCAGGATGTCAACCTGTCCGTTCACAAGGGTGACCGAGTGGGCATCCTCGGGCTCAACGGGGCTGGCAAATCGACCTTGGTGAAGCTCCTCGTTGATGAGATTAAGCCTTCGTCCGGAATGATAACAACCCATCCGCGGCTGAAGCTGGGATATTACTCTCAACATGCCGTCGAAGGATTGCAACAAATGGGCCGAGACGACGTTTCACTGACGGCTCTTTCGCTACTAACGAAGGATGTTGATGGAGAGCTGGACGAAGGACAGCTCCGTGGGATCCTTGGCAGTCTTGGGTTGCCCGGTAGAGTTGCGTCCGACATCCCAGTCAGGAAGCTGTCTGGCGGCCAGCTCGTGCGTTGCGAGCTTGCTCGTATTCTCTGGCGACGGCCGCACTGTCTTATTCTCGACGAAGTAACTACCCATCTCGACTATGAGACGGTCACGGCCTTGCGTGAGTCACTGAGGGACTGGGAGGGGGCGGTCATTCTCGTCAGCCATGACCGGTGGTTCATGCGGGGTGCAGTTGAGGGGCTGATTGAAGACTCGGAGAGCGAGGAAGACGATGAGGATGAAGCTGTCTCCAGGCGACGAGCGGTATACAGGTTGAAGGCCGGGAACCTGACGGTCCTGGACGGCGGGGTGACGCAGTTCGAGGACGGAGTTGCAAAGAGGGTGACGAGACTGCTTAGTTCGTAGAGACTAGACAGCGATGCCTGGACAGTTGTAAAGCTCTTCATGCGAGTTACCAATGGGGGATGCATGTTCCCATGCTCGAAGGATTGTGTTCCTCGCAGCGAAGAGATTCAAAGTTTGAAACTACTGCATAGTAGACAGTTGGTTGCGGATCCCGTATTCCAGGCAGACGAATTCCCCTAAGTTGCCCGATTAGGGAGCTCTGCTTGATCGGGACGGCGAGTCAGGGGGCGTTCGTCGCTGGGTGTGGAGATGCCGGTGTCCGCGCGTCGAGCTCCAGTCCTGTTTCCCGCGATGGGGAACCGCTGGCCCTCCTGCCAACGATTCAGGCCCGTGGGCTGTGCCTCTGCAATGTTTCTTCCATCTGAGTGGCCCTCGACTTGGAGAAGCTTACGTATGGCTTCACGATGACTGATGGAAGCAATGGTGGCACGCCGGCCTACCTGCTAGACTCGAGGCCAGCCTTCAATGGTTCGAGTGCTTGGCGTATATGCACGGGGGCGGCACCATTATTTTCGGGAATTAATTCAGGTCGACTGCCGCCCGGGAGCACCCTATCGCACGGGACGGAATGGCACCGATCATCTGACAGACGTCACTTCAACCCGTCGTTTCGCCCGGCGCAAGAAAAGGTTGCAGCGACGATTGTCTTTCGAGCCGACTGCCCAGAGCAATCGAACGCCAAGCCGTCAAGTTTTACAGTCTGGAACATTGTTCGCCGATATGAGGGGGCATGGCTGCGCAGCAAGTCAAGCCGAATGGTGGACATGGAGCATGCCGGTGAAGAGGTGAGGTGGAAAGCCCACGCTGTGAGTTCGTCACAAGAAAAGAAAAAAAAAAAAGCGTGGACGAGGAGATCGTCGTCACGCCCTGTGGCTGGACCTTGCCGCACGCCCGGTTGGGAGGGAAGCGTGGGGCCAGGTAGCATTGAGGGCAGGGAATAGTCGAGTACCGGCTGCGCAAGCAGCACCTCCTCAGCCTTTCTTTGCTGTCAGCGAATCTGCTTCATCGCGCGGGGGCTATTACTGAGATGGATGTTTTGGGGCGGTCTGAACTTTTCCCCCAAAGTCAAACACACACAAGGACAGAGTTTCCTTGGCTCTCGGCGGTGAGGTGTGAGTGCGCGTCGTCTGGAGATGGAGAGCATCTGGAAGAGAGTTGGTGCTGTATGTGAGGTACTTGAATGGGTTAGACGAAGTCGGGCGAAATTTGCATTGAATTCAATAGCAAAGAACCATAGAAGAGGATCGCCGAGACTGCCCAGGGTTGCGGGAGACGCCCAGCTTGTGTGTACCGGGCAATCTAAGGTAGATTTCGACGAGCCACTCACGACGACCCTGTGAGCAGAATCGGGCGAGCGTGCGCCGGCTAAAGGGGCGGTTCTCTGGCAGTGAGATGGCCCATTGGTTCATTAGAGGCTGGAGGGCTGCAGGGGGTGTCATTCAGAACCTCAGTGCGTCGCCGTGCCGCAGCACGCTGTACGGATACCGCCGCAGGCACGGACAGACAGAAACAATTGCGTTTGGCCGGCCGAGTGGGAGGTGCCCATCCGATCTTTTATTGGGTTGACTCTTATGATTTGGTTTTCTGTTGTTATTTCGATTTCGAACTCACGGTGGGCAGCAAGCAGCATGTCTGAGACCTGTCGAGACGGACGAAACACTTTCCGTGCTTGTTCCCTGGACCTCGATGGTGCGCGCAGGCAGCGGGAGGAAGCAGCATGTACTTACTTACTACAGAGTGTGCCAGTGGTAGAAGGAGGCTGAGAGGTTGCAACGACATGCTGTCAGCCACGTTGTGTGCTATTTCCCAAGGTTGCAACGGCGGCACTGAGCCATGATGATCGGCACTCGCTATCCGGAGTTGCCTGGTACCTAGCCAGACACCTGCTAGGTATTTTTATCGGCAAAAGATTCAAAAGGCTGATGACTGCCAGTGACGGCTGGAGGGGGCATGTTTTGGCGGCTGCGAGTAAGTGAAGGACAAGGTGAAACATGCCCTGACAGAACGTGGAACTCAGCACATGTTAGCCACCGTGTAAAGAACCGTGTACTGCACGCCTTGCCTCTTCTCATCTCAACTTCTCTGCCTGCTGCTCTGCTGCCACATGTTTCCACCCGAGGCATTGTAACAGCAGACAGAACAAAGCGGGCCCCCGTCAGCCGTAACACAAGAGGGTGGTTGAGGCATGCCGCGTGATGAGCAGCACATTGAGTCCTTCCTGCTGTACTCTGTGTCTGTACTCTGTCTGCACGGAAGCAGAGAGAATGAGCTGGCCAGCCAAGCAAGCAAGGAGGAACTTTTTCAATAAAAACTGGAACTGTAAGTGGGCGAAGGAATCGCAGTGGACACGCAACAGGTGATTATCAAATTTGCAGCCACCCGGAACTGGGTCCGCCGCGCCCTGGGGACGTGGACGTGGATGTGGACGTGGACGTGAGGTGGAGGCTGCTGCTGCGAGGGTCGCATAGTGCGATGTGCACACAAGTCCCCTACCGGTTCCGGGTAAGGCCAGCCCAGCCCATCCCGCTTCCCGTTTCCCACCTGCCTACGGTAATGCTACATGCTGTACCTACCATACTTTAGCATGGCGGAACCTGCCAATTTTGACCCAGAACAAAACATGCAAATTGTTTTCCCCAGCTTCTTTCTACTCTTTGCTGGGTTGTCCTTACGTCGGCCGCGACTCTCTGTGCGTGGGCAAGAACCTAACTAAGCTGTCTGCCTGGCCTGCCTACCTCGTTATGTATCCGTAGCCCGCCCACCACCCCGTCTGCGTCAACATCTCTGAGACCTCAAGACCTTGGCTTTCCTTACTGTCTGGTTGACTACCTTGTGTTGCCTTTTCGTCTCTAGCTTTTGTCCTACACTGCCCTTGTCTACATACCTTACCTATCCATACCTACCTACGACCGCGGTGTGGACTCAGCGGACACGTCCTCCGTCCACCGCCTCCTTTCTGAGATAAACTCTCTCCTCATCCATCTCTCCTCCTCCTCTTCCTCCTCCCCTTGCCCTTTCCAATTGGATGCTGCGCCTCACATCGCTCGGGGCTCCATCCCGTCTCCCAAACATCCAATTGCACAGAAACACCTACTGAGGGAAGAGCACCGGTTGGTCATTCAGGCACACAGTTCCTACCGCCGCTCGTGCCCGGCTACTGTGTTACTTCTTCTACACCTCGCCTTGCCTGGGCTGACCCCGACGCCTGCCCGCCTCGTGGAACCATAACCTTTTTCCGTCGTCTCCTGCCTTGTCTCGTCCTACCTTATGCCACATTCTTCCTGCAGCGCATCTCGGGATTTCGCGCCTCAAACCAAGCAGCAGGGACAGATCGAGGCCTGAGCTTTCCCATACCCATACTCTCTCGGTGCCACCCGAAAGTGATATGAGCTCCCAGTCCCCGCTTCTAGCTCCCCTTCCACGATCCTTCTGGCGACCCTTAGCATCTTTAACTCCTACGTTCCACTGCACGACGGAGCCGTCTTGCATGAACATCCAGAGCTGACGGCCTCGTCGGTTTTCTCTCGCTTTTTCTTCTTCTTTTCCTTCTACCCTATTGTACGTCCCGACTTCCCGAAGTCGGCCTCGCCTACATCTTCCTCGACCTGCACTCGACGACCTAGTATATAAACGATAACTCTGTATAGTACCAGACAACTGGTGTAACGACCTCGGCATGCTCGCCAACTTCCACCAGCCTCGACGGCTGAAGACGCCCTTCATCGCCGTAGTCGTCTTCATCCTAATCACGGGCTTCTTCCTTCTCTTCCATCAGCCACTGGTGTCGTACTTTGTCACACCGTGGACAGCAGAGCGTGAGTTTGCCAACCTCGTCCCGCGGTCGAGGTGCTAATTCGTGTGTAGAATATGGTGGCAGCTGGATGAATGCTTCATCACCAGGCTGGGTGCAACCAGCGCTCAGCGAGGGAGACCCGAGTAAAGCAGACGACGCAGGCCGATATGTGAAGGCCATCATGGACCCTAAGAACGGCGGCTACCCGATTGTTGCCTGCCCCGCACCGAACATCACGCGCTACGGCGTTCTGAAGCCGGTCGACAACACGAGCAAGCGTCACTTTTTCTTCGCTCTCGACCTGCGCCAGGTCGTAGATCTGCTTCCACAGCTCATTGGAGCTGTTCTTGAAGCTGTCGACATCATCGGGCCCGAAAACTGCGCAATCTCCATCGTGGAAGGTATCTCGACCGATGGCACTTACGAGACTCTCTACCGCCTGAAGGCGCACCTCGACAAGGTCGGGATTGCGTACTATCTGCAAACGAGCAGCATCGACTCCCACAGCGGGGACCGCATTGGCAAGCTGGCCAAGCTTCGAAACCTAGCCCTCGAGCCCATGATGGCCGAAGCCGATCGTTACGACTCGAAAGCAACCATCGTCTTCCTCAACGACGTGGCCGCCTGCACGGAGGACATCTTGGAACTTGCGTACCAGAAGCAGACCCAAGGCGCCGACATGACGTGCGCCATGGACTACCACTTCCTGCGATTCGCGCCGCACAATGGAGAGCCGTCCTTTTACGACTCCTGGATTTCTCGAGGCATCAACGGTGACACGTTTTTGCCTATTCCGGACAGGACGCCCAAGGGAGAGCAGTGGAGCGACGTGGCCAATATGTTCTGGAACGAGCCTTACTCTCAGGACCGCTATCTCAGCCGCAAGCCTCTGCAGGTCTTCGCCTGCTGGAACGGAGGCGTTGCCATGACTGGCGAACCATTCCTCGCCAAAAAGCTCGACTTCAGAAGGTCGTACCCGGGTGAATGCCACACCGGCGAGCCGACGCTCTTGTGCAAAGACCTGTGGAATCTTGGCCACGGCAAGATTGCCGTTGTGCCAAGCGTCAGTCTGGCGTACAATATCCAAGACGGAAGGTTGATCAAGGAGGAACGAGGTTTTGCGAATTCATGGGTCGCAATCGAGCACATGGGCGAGTCCGTCAACATCCCTTGGCAGGATCAGCCGCCCGAGATGGTCAAGTGCATGCCCACCTTCCGCAACCAGTTCTGGCGGCCTTGGAATGAGGGACTGTAAGCTTGGCGACGCCATGGACGGTTTTTTCTGTTTTTGCATAGGAGGATTTTCACTAGATAGATGGGAAAGGTAACCTGAAGGGATAACCTGGAATCTCGCACAAGGGCTGTGGGAGAGACGAGCATCATGATACCCGGTTTCTGTAATCTGTTTCATCCGGACAAGCAGGCGCTAATAAAAGACGAAATGACTTATTTGATAATACGATTGGATGAAGAACCCGCAAACCCAAAGGTGCCTGTCGCTCACACGAATCGGGTGACCTGACGTGTTCGTCCGAACGTCGTGTGTTGATTGTCCAAGGCATAATTGCACGCGGGCCGACAATCAGGCCAATCTCCCGGACTCGGAAGTTGCTGACCGAAACCAAAGATGACGAGGCTTACGCCGAGAAGGAGCGCAAACACACAGACTACCTAGCAGTCTTGAGTGAGATGTGTTGGTTGGCTGGCACGCTGGTTGGCCATTCCATTCCATCCCTGCCGTGATTTCGGGAATGCCAGCCGGTGAGACACCTTAAAAAATGGGAATCCAAAAGGGAGCGCGAGCTGGGGACGAGAGAGAGCGAGACATGACGTCGGCGGAGTGAGCAGTCGGCAAGCCACACGACGCCCCGGTGGAGAGGAGCAGAAGGGGGGGCCCCGGAACGTTGCAACCAACACGGCGCCACGGTGGACACTCTGGTAGGGCAGAGACAGAGACAGATGCGGTGTGGTTCGGTTCGGTTCGGGTTTGGGCGCAAGGCAGACAGACGCGTCCAGTGTTCTGGATCCGGGGAGGGTTGGGTTTTCGGCCCCGCTTGTTCCGTGACCCCGCCCCGCGACCTACCTTTCGGGCGCCGGGGGACGGCTTTCTTAACTTCCACCGGGTCCAGCCAATGCCGAGACCGCCGATGGGAATCGGTCCGGGAGATTTGGCCGACAGACATGGATCGGTGCGGGAGGGTTGCGACGTTCCAGTCGGCGGGCGTGAGGCTCGCTTTGCTTTGGCGCGACCATTTACAGAGGTGTCACTAATGAGTCAAGAGAATGATTGCGTGCAATGTCGTGATGTTATTTGTTTTCCAGACGGAATTAAGGTTTATGATACTGGTTGTGGACGAGCTGGGAGTATACAGTTCCGCAGTCTCGGTCCAAAGGGGGAATCGTAGTAGGTAGGTACGGCAAAAATGCAAAAACGTACAAAAGTTACAGTGGATATAAAGTCGCTGATCCAAGTGAGGTCTCCAAGCCCGTCTCTTTACATCATCGTCTCTTTTTCCAAAATCTTCTCTCGTGTGTTCAAAAAAACAAATCGCAATCAAAATGGTTCATCAAGCCGCTCCGGACATCTCTTCAGTGGGGAATCGTGAAAAAAAAAAGGCGACTGGATAACATCAACATTCCAACAGAGCACGGTGGTAATCCCGTTGCCTCCCAACGCCGCCGCTCGCTGCTTTTTTGTGGTATCATTATACTCGTGACTTCATGGCGTACGCCTGGTCAGGCATCATCAGCAACCCCCTGGCGATAAACTTCAGGGATGGCGATGGCCTGACCGGGGGCTTCCAGTTGGGTCAGTTGTGGATTATTACAGCAGGGCAGCAACGAAGGCGGCACCAAGGAGGACGGCCACGCCAGCGGGGGCGTTGCTAGCGCCGGCGTTCTGGTCAGGCGCCGCACCGGTGGAGGCGGATGGGGTCGCGCTGACCCTTGTGCTCACACCGCGAGTTGTGGAGGCCAGGGTGGAGTTGGCGGCGGTGAAGGCAGAGGTGAAGCCAACGCTGGGGGCGACGCTGGTAGTAAGAGCGACGACCTCGGTGGTGCTGGGGGCGGCGGATGATGAGGGAGAAGAGGTCGTCGACGGGGTGGTCGCGACGACAACGGAGGAAGAGGTGGTGGGCGCAGGCTTGGAGGTCGTGGTCGGGGTCGGGGCCACAGAGCTGGTCGTGGGGGCCTGGGAGGTTGAGGTGGTGGTGGGGACCGGGACATCGGAGGTGAGGGCGCCAGTGACGCCGTGCTTGGCAGCGCAGTCACCGAGGTTCATGCCGTTGGCGCAGCAGAAGGTTTCGGCGCCGGTGTCGTGCGTGCAGTAGAAGGAGGACAGGCAGGAGTCTGGGTTTTTCGTGTTAGTGACGATGCGCAAAACGTGACGTTGCGACGGTAGACTCACTTCCGCTGTTGGTAGAGCAGCAGGTCTCGCCAGCGGCGGGGTTGTAGCAGTGGACGGCAGAGTCGGTGGACTTGCACTGCTCATATCCGGTACCGCAAGCCTCGGCGCAAGTGTTTCCACCCTTGGAGCAGACCTCATCGGCGGGCTGGTAGGCGCTGTCGGCACGGCGCATGATGCCGAAATCTCTTGAGAGGGGGGTGATAACGCTGCGCTTGAAGACCTTTTCTTGGGCGAAGGCCTGGGCAGTGAAGGCCACGAGGGCCACGGAGGCGAGCGAACGGAAATGCATTGCGGCGGAATGTGCAAAGTTGACGGTAGATGACGATCGGATCGAATCGGTCGGTTTGTTCGGACACGTTTAGGGTTAGAGAGGCACCCGAATATTGCAAAATAACGACTGTAAGTCTTGTTGGCGGATCGCGAGTCGGTATGAATGAGCGATATCGACAGGCGGACGACGACGACGACGACGAGAGTATCGACGGAGCGAGAGAAGGAGGCGAGTACTCTGGCGTGAGGTGATCGTGAAGGAGGGTCAAAGAGTGACTGGAGGGGCGTAGACCACCTAAAAAGCACGCGACGGGTGTGGTTGCGAAGGGGAATGCGGGAGAAAGTGCAGTGCAAAGCGAACGAGGGACGGCGCAAAAAGAATGGAGATGAAGTGGAGAGAGGAAAGTGGGAAGAGTGAGAGGACGAGTCGCGAGAACTGGGGCAGGAGGAGCAATGCTGGTCGCAAACCGGGGGGGGAGGCAGAGGGAAAAAGACGAGGGTTAGACGAGGGCAGCACGGTTCAATGGGCGACGAGGATGTCTTGTGCGGGCTGGGCGAGATATGGCGTACCGATTCGGAAGGATCCTCCTTTTAATTTTATTTGCCTGGACAGCAGCCAGTTGGAGGAGCTTGACCGACAGGGCCCGCCACGATGACCCCGGCTTGAGGCCGTCTGCGTCAGAGCCTATGAATGGTCCGCACCGGATGGGTGGACAGACCGCCCAGGGTTGTTAATGGCCCGGAGGAGAGCGGTGCGAGGCTTCGTCGACTCCTGATGAGGGTTCTCATGTTTGGAGAGGGTGGCACTGTGTCTCAAGTGAAGGAGAGCCGAGAGACTTGAGAGAGAGACCAACAAAAAGGAAAGGGATGGGCAGACACGCCACGGGAGCCGTTATGCATGTTTTCTTAGCGGGCGACGGCAGCTGCAGATACGGGCATGCGGCCTCCCTTTAGCTCAGGAACGCGCTGACCGTAAGTTGCGTGTCGTTGTACGTGTAAAAGACTCAAAAAGACCCTCATCATCAGCCAACTGCCCCAGCAAAGAGACTGACCTACGGCCTGCAGCGACCCATCAGCTCGTCTCTCCACTGCGCGACCAGGCCAGGCCACCTTGCACCTGCCGCCAACAGCAGTCGCTACCAGAATCCTTGGGGCCTGGGCAAACGTGACCGCCCCCAAAGCAGGGAGGCTCGTTGACAGTTGGTATGCTATTCCACAGCTGGGGGAGGACAAGCACCGAAGAGGAAAGACAAACGGCGGAAATCTGCACCTTTGAAATGAGACAGCCCGGCGCCAGCCAATGCCTCATCTCTCCTGAGTCCCGAGTCCCTGACCTTTTTGGCCGTGCGACACCACTTGGCCAGGTTCGCCCAATTGTGCTCGGCAGCCGCGATCTGACTGGGCGAATGCTCTAAAAGCGGGCCTCTGATCAGCCCAGATAGGCTAGCCCCCAAAGAGCAGAAAAAAGTCGGGGCCGCCAACGGGTACCTTGCAGCGCCAACCCAACCCAACCCAGACGTGCATCATCCGCCAATCGCTTGGTGTTCAGAGAGAGGCCCCCACCCCATCGCGGCCATCTGACGAACCATCGAACGCCGTTTCAGGTGGGTTCCTCGTCTCTGATTCGCTCGGCCGCTTTCCATTCTTTCCTCGCCGCCTCAGTCCCCACGACTTCGCGATGCACCCCAGACCACTCACTGCAACTCACCCTCACCCGTCATCACCCACCACTGTGATTGTGACCCTCACACTCGCAGCCGCCCTCTCTAGCGGCAAAAAGGGCAAATGGCATAATACAAAAAATCCCCCGACCCAACCATCTCTGGAAATTGAACATGACGACCGGTCCCAGAATTTCCTCTTCTTGGCCCGACCACTTTCCCTTTGCAGACCCGGACCATTTCCCTTTTTCTCCCGAAGCGCTGTCGATAATCATCAGACCCAATCAATCCCATTACACTTCCCCATGACTTGGACTTCAAGTGAGATAGACCCCGATGACGGATGACCGCCGGCCGCTGTCTCGTCCGTTCCAGCCAACTGCCGGCATCTCTCATTCCCCTTAGGACATTGTCTTGACAGATTTATCGGATTGAGCTGTATCTGCGTGTCTCATGGTGTTCCATTCCGCGAGGCTTCACCGGCGCCTTCTAGAACCGAAAAACAATGCAATCTTAGCACCGCAGATCGCAACCATCTGTTTTCTTCTCGCCCTCTGCTAGCGCCGGCATGGTCCCGGAGAAGGTCAACCTGATTCCCCAGCGTGTGCCATTGCCACCCACCTGAATCCCAAGAAGCGCAAAGTCGCCCTCCCGATTCCCGAAAAAAGCGTCCCGCGCGACGGGTCAAACTCAATTACTTCGGACGACGTATCATGGAACGTGCCGAGCGACGACAAGCAGTTCGTTGCCGCAGACCGAAACGGCATTGGGCCTTGTAAACAATGCTAAACAAAACATCGAGTTTCAATGGGAAACATTCTGCTTGGCTCTAAACCGCCGTCGTATCATTAATCGTGGCTAGCTATACTCCACGCGCAATGTCTACCCAATTCTAGATTTGCAAAGAGAAGGAAACAGTCATTACGTTCATGCAGGTACCCGAGACACCATGTGGCGCTATTCCTTCAAGCCTCACCACCGAAGCCACCCCTTCTATCGGGCTTCTTCTCTCATGCCTCCAGGTGCTTAGAGGTCGTCTTGTCCGCCTCCTCCCTCAACGGATCGCCAATGACGCCGTTCTCGTCGGTGTAGCCGATCTTGCTGGCGCTGAAGCCGTCCAGCTCACGCTTCCACACCGTATTGAGGAAGATGGGGTACGCGAAGCTGACGACGAAGCCGCAGAGGGGCACCACCATGGCGACGTGGTAGTCCTTGTGGTCCGCGAGGAGACCCGTGAGACTGGGAAAGAGAGCGCCTCCGGACACCGCCGCCACGATCCACGAGCTGCCGCGCTTCGTGTGGCGTCCCAGGCCGCGGATCGAGAGCGTGAAGATGGTTGGGAAGATGCACGACTCGAAGAAGAGGACGATTGAGAGCATGGCGATGCCCGCCTCGCCGAATAGCGCGATCGCGAGCGCGATGAAGACCATGATGCCCGTCATGAAGGTCATGAGCACGAGGCGTGGCTTGACCACCATCATGAGCCCGGCGGCGGCGAACCGGCCGATCGCGAAGAGGCCCTGCCCGATGGCGTACCGGTCGCTGGCCTCGGAGTGTGTGAGGCCGGCGCTCTCGACGGCGTAGTTGATGAACTGGCTGGCGACGCCGACCTGCGCTCCGACGTAGCAGAACTGCGCGGCGACGCCGAAGAAGAGCTTGTACTGCTTCCGCATGGGCTTGTCCTGGTAGCCCGTGAGGGCGGCGCTCTGCTCGGCCTGGAGCGCCATGTCGGCGTCCGTGACCTCGGGGATGGGCGCGAAGAAGAAGACGACGGCGAGGAGGAAGACGAACGCGGCGATGCCGAGGTAGGTCCACTGCACCTTGGACAGGTCGTTGGGCTCCGTGTGCGAGAAGAAGACGCGGGCGGCGAGCAGCGGGGCGATGACGGAGCCGATGGCCTGGAAGGACTGCGACAGCTCGAGGCGGAACTCGGACAGGCGGGGCGGGCCGCAGGTCGCGATGAAGGGGTTCGCGCTGGTCTCGAGGGTCGACAGGCCCGAGCCGACGATGAAGAGGGAGCCGCAGAAGCCGGGGAAGGAGCGGTAGACGGCGGACGGCCAGAACATGAGGGCGCCGACGCCGTAGATGCACAGGCCTGTGATGAAGGTCCAGCGGTAGCCGAACTTGCGCACGATCCAGCCGGAGTAGGTCAGGGGCCCGATGAAGTAGGCGCCGAAGTAGGCGCCCTGGAGACCGCCGGCCTTGGCGGCCGTGATGTTGAGGGCGATTTGGAACTTGGAGTTGAGGACGTCGAGCAGGCCGTACTGCGCGCGCGCATTGTTAGATGAGCCCCGGTGGTTGTGATGTGATGGCTTTGACTTACAGCGAAACCCCAAAGGAAGAAGAGAAGTGTGACCAAGGTGATGGGCACGATGGACTGCCTGACTGTCAGGGCGGAAGCGCCCGTCAACCCCCTGTTGGAGACGGACATGCGATGTTGATGCTGGGTCGCCTCGACAGCGCTGGGCTGGCGCTGGTCCAGGACTTCGGCGACCTCTGGCTCCTGTTTCTTTCCAAACATCTTTGCTGAGTTGGAGTGGATGGGTGTCAGTGAAGAGATGAAGTCGATGATGAGAAGGTGATGATGATGCTCAGTGTCCGGCTGGCTGATGATCCCAAAATGCCAACAAGGTCGTCAACGTTCAACCTTATATATGCCATGCGACGAGCAAACCCATCACCACCTGTCGTCCCATCCAAAACGCCACTGACAAGCTCACATTAGCTTCCCCACGCCCGACTATTCGATCCCATCACGCACACGCCAGAACCGTGATGTCGGATCCAGCCAGGTCTCGAATTCGCAGCTAAGCGGGCACCCAGAATTCTATACCACGGCAGAGATTTCGCACAAACTCAAATGCTCTCCCAGTAGCAAGATTATAGCTCACCGGGCAGAAGGCCGCTATTGAAGCGTTCCAACCTCGCAGGCGACGAATGGCAATGCTAGCCGGCCCTCCGTTGCGTTTGCGCGCATTCTAGCCTCGACGGCAGAAACCACCCATCGGGGAGAGCGCTGCATTTCGTAGGGCGGGTGACGATCAGCTAGCGGGCAAGGCGAAACCCCCCATCCCATCCCATCCTCCAAAAGCTGGGCCGGCACTTGGATGGGAGGAAGCTTGACAGTCAAGCTTGCATGCACCGAATTTGAGCCATGTCCAGGCTAGGTAGCGCGCATACGGCCGACGTTTGGATCTTCCTCGGCGCTTCTTGGAGTTGTGGGGGAAGATTTCAGCGAAGATAGCGACGTGAGTGAGGTGAGCGCGGGGGAGGTTGGGGCGATTGGTTCGCTGTGTCCGGATCTAGCTTGGTGTTGTTCGGAGAGGTGCTAGACTTCCGAGGGCGGGGGAAGGTGGAAGGCGGAGAAGCACGAGAGGGGAGGAGGACGACGGCGACGATAACGACGAAGCCAGAAACCTCCGCTTGTCTTGTTATCCCGTGACGAAGCAACCATATCGGTATTGATGTGAGAGGAAACATGTTCGCAGAGCTATATGTAATCAGCTAGCCAATATAGACGGATCTTCGCGACGTGAGGGTCCTCGAGATCGAGCTTCATTCAGAATGAAATATCAAATCGTCGCGGTTGCAGTCAGACAAAGACAAGCCAACGGTCGCAGTGATTTTGAAGCCAAACTCTCCAACCCCACGGGACGATCCCCGCAAATCCCCTGCTTGGCAAGAGCTTGTCTTTTTCTCTGCACGATATTCTCTCCTTGGCACGATCGTGGGGCCTGGGCAGCAAACCGTGAAGTGGGTGAGTGGCAACAGAGGAGGGCTAGAACAGAGATCTGGGTCGTTTAGGCTAGTCAAAGACCCGTGACGTGTGGCAACCCCGGCGCTAACGTCTTCCCCACGTGAGACAAGGGCGCCGGTATCATGAACATCGGTCCGACATTGAAGGGACTAATATAGGTCAATTAAGTCGACGCTGTTCAGGGCGTCGAGATCGCGGGGCGCGTTCCGAGTCTCTGGGATATAACGCTTTAGCCATTTTGCTCCGCCATCTCTTCTCGCTGTTAGATATGTACATTCGTTCCGCTGCCCGAGCCATTCTGGGTATTATGCTCCTCAAGATTGCCCCCGCTGAAAGAAAGCAACGCGACTCATTTGCTCCTCTGATCAAAAATCTCCCTCCATCCTACCACCATTACGTAGAAGCTGTGCCGCGGCGGGGACTCGGAAAAAGTAGCGACGACTCCATATAATATACATGCAGGGTGAACTGCTCGATCGGTCAGGAAGATAGAAAGGTCGATTCACGAGGAGTTCAATCGGTGGGTTCCCTCATCATCTTGGAAATGTTTTTGGACATTTGTGCATACTTCTCCTCGAAAGTCTTCTGGAACTTCTCGCATGCCACCCACATGGCATCGCCCTTCTTCCAGTACGTGTAGCAGTTGTCGAAAATCTGGCGCACGTCGGAGACAAATTCGTCCTCTGTAGTGTACTGTTGCTGACTCATCTTCGCCTTGATGGTGTTGAGATCCATGGGTTTCTTCACTTTCTCAAAGTAATCAGGCACGTTGTCCTCGACTGGGTCAACGGGCTCCTTGAAGGGACCGACAAGACGCGTCCAGAAACCTGTAAAAGTCAGCAAAGATATTCATATCTTCATCAGAAGGTATGGACATACCAGGACCCGAAAGCATCCTGTCAAGGAGATCAGCGCAGAAGTCCAGCTTCTTGTCGGTACTTATCTCGCCAGTGGGCGTGGAAACGAAACTGCGTCGCTTCTGGATGACAGGCTTAGATTTCGGCGCAGATGCGACAGCTGCCGCGGCCGCAGCTTTGCGGACCGGAGGCGGCGGAGCCCGGTGGCTGTTGTTGTAAGTCTTGGAGTTTTGCGACAGGGGCAGTGGCGCAGATGCACGTCGGTTCTTCTTGGTCAGGTGGTCATCTTCATCGCTGTCCTCCTCCAAGTAGTGAACGCTCTTCCGTGGGGCCGGCTCAGCGGACTGTGGTGACTCCGCAGAAGACGGCGCAGGCAGGCTGTCGAGAGAGCTCATGGCTACCACAAGTTCACTGAGAACCTCCTGCGGGAGCGACTTGGCAAACTCGGCCCTGGACTCCGAAGAGCGCATGTATTCGGCCGCCCACGACAAGAGTAGCTTACGAATGGCGGAACCCTCGGGCGTGTCTCTCCAGACCTGAACAAGCAGAGGAGTTGCGGGGATGTGCTGGGTGATGCGTCTACAGTCGTTCATGGCTTCGAGAGTCTTGTCACAGAGACCATCGATTCCGAGCTCATAGCCCAGCTTCCACACACCGATCAGGGCCTCGTATGAGGGAGTTGAGTTGGCATCGTTCGAGACATGGCCGGTGAAGAGGAATTGCTGGGTCAAGCCGAAGACTTCTTGCGAGGTCTCGGGCAGCTTTACGATGTGTTCGATAGTATCCGATGCGACGTTCTGCTTGAAGTGGTTGCGGTAGAATGTAGATCTAGCGCAGAGGAAGTCCTTCTGGATGCCGAAGGGAGTCTCGTCGGATCCGACGAGGATGATGACAAAGGTCGGGTGAGGTTGCCTTGATGAATGTGAGACGGGTTAGATAAATGAGCAGAGGAGATGTAAAACTTACGTCCATGAGAATTTGCTCTCATCCTTGGCAGCCTCTTTGACAGGCTCCGACTTTTCGGCAGCAGGAGCCGGGCTGACGCCGTTGGTGGCGGGAACCGGAGTCTGTTCCGACATGGTGAATGTGTGCTTGAGCAGTCTGCGCGGAGGCGATCAGCTAACGGTGAAAGACGACTACGAGTCAATGTTACGACGAAGAGATCAAGATAGAAGTCACTGGTGGAGTTATAGATGAAGAATGGTTGAGCAGAAAAGATTGCGGGAAGTGAGGTGAAGTGAGTGAAGGATGTAGTCTGGTGAACGACTAGCGCAAGGGCAAGTGGCATGAGGTGAATGGCAAGGCAAGTAGGGATGAACGCGTCTTGCCAGATGGCAGACGCGTCGGGTCCCAAAGTGCAAGAACGATGCAAAGCAGGAAAACCAGGCAACTGTGAAGGAAAGAGGGCGAAATCGCGACTTACCTTGATAGCTGGAAGATGAGATGTGAAGGTTTTGACGCAGAGCTTGCTGAGGGAGCTCTTGCACGATGACAGGTGACAGGTGACAAGTCTTACGATTGTCAGGGATAGAAAGCAGCGACTGAGTACAATGCAAGTAAAACGACAGGAGAGGGCGGTCAATGATGAGATTAAGCAGACGATAATCGTCGCCGGGTGAGGGAAAGGCGCGATGATTGAGATTTTACTCCCTCGATCTTACCACAGTCAAGCTCACTCTAGGGAATGAAGGTGCGATAGCGAGGTAAGCCACACCAGGCGTTTCATGCCTTCTGGAGATGGACCGTGCAGAAGCTTCCTCGGGTCCACAGTTCCGCCATTCCGGGCTGGCAGCCTCCGCCACACTTGAGCAAGCACCGCCACATACTGCTTTAAGGTTTTCAATGTCCAGTCCTCTCTTGCACCAACACAGCCAGCCAAACATGCTGTCACTTTTCCCACGTGCGAATGCCTTCCAAATGGAAATCCGGAACGATGGAGTGCAAGCTCTCCTGTCCTTGATGAATGCGCAGTCAATCAGGTATTGATCCTTATCCTCGGAGGTCGCCGGAGTTCAGCGGAAAAGGTTCCCAAATTGTTCACCGTTGACCGGCCCTTGTTGCTCCAAAGCGCATCACGCTACTGCACCCGAGGCCTCGCTGAACCCCCGGCCATCCTTTATCGCCCCGCGCCAATTGACCTCTGAGAGCCCGTATCTCGAGCAGGTGGGCTGCGGACCCCACACTATCTCTGTTCCCTGACGGCATAGACAGCCGACCCAGTGCTTTTCACCAGCTTCCTGATCGAGCAAAGAGCCGTTTTTTGCCCTGGGAAAACATGTCTGCGTGGTGTTCCGTGTGGAGATTGGACAAGGCGGAAATTTTCAGCTGCCCTGAATGGAGACCAGCTTCTATAAAGCATGATGCGCCGCTGCACCGTTTGATGGGAAATCTGTTGTTGTTTGGTAGTCGCCTTGCCCCTCGCTTGTCGCCGCGCATTCCGTGAGAGACCTGAAGACATTCGCACCTCAAGATGACTCGAGCATTCGGTTTCCTGGCGGCCGCCGGCCTCGTAGGCACCGCCACTGCCGGTCTCTACCCTGGCCTGACTACCGCCAACCACAGCTGCTCTCTCGGTATGAAGCTTATTTGACGCGCAAGTGGAATGATTCATTGACCATGTTCTTAGTTGAGCCTGTTCTGTCATGCTCTTGTGGGGCAGTTCCTGACAAGGTCGACACCTGCTGCGTCGAGACCTACGGTGGCCTTGTTGTATGTTGCTCAACAATTGCGTCTTTGTACGTACAGGACTGACTTTGCGATAGATGGCCACTCAGTTCTGGAACACCTACACTGGCCTGGAGAGCGAGGGACAAAAGTTGCCTCAAGACTCGTGGGGCATCCACGGCCTCTGGCCCGACTTTTGCAATGGCTCGTACACCCAGTACTGCGATCTCAAGCGCCAATACGACCCTCTTCCTTCGCCCAACACCACCAATGGCAAGCCCGACGGTACTCCTGTCCCTGCTTACAACGGTACCTCCATCGACAAGTTCATCACTCCTTTCGAGAGATTTGACCTTCTGGAGTACATGAACAAGTGAGTTTCCTCCGTTCTGGGCGCAACTGATCCATCACTTGCTTCGAGTCGCACGCCCTTGGTTTCGGTTGCCTAACAACAATAGGTTCTGGATCGCTCTGGGAACCCCCAACTGGGTCCTCTGGGCCCACGAGTTCTCCAAGCACGCCACCTGCTTCAGCACCTTTGACGTCGAGTGCTATGGCCCCAAGTACCAAGAACACGAGGAGCTCGTCGACTTCTTCGAGACCGTCGTCCACTACTACAAGGAGACTCCGACCTGGAAGTGGCTGGCTGAGAAGGACATCAAGCCTTCCAACACCACCGCCTACTCGCTGTCCGACATCCAGGCCGCCTTGACTGCGGGCCACGGCGCCATTCCCTACCTCGGATGCAGCGGTCCCCGCTACAACACCACCGAGGCAGGCAAGGGCTCCCTTGATAATGGCTTCACCCAGCTTGGCGAGGCCTGGTATTACTTCCACGTCTACGGCAGACCCCAGCGCGGCGATGGAATTCCTGTTGCCGCTGACAGCAATGGCGGAAGCGTTTCCAACTGCGCCAAGACAGAGGGTGCAATCTGGTACTTTGAGCGCTCCGAGGGATCGGTGCAGTAAACGATTTATGAATGAAATTCAGAAGTGTCTCGTAAACACAGGTAGTAATACATAATCGCATCCTTGTAAACCGACAATTCTTACAACAACCGTGTTCGTCCAAACCGGCAAGATCAACACTTGCGATCTGAGATCAAAGTCAACTACCGCAGTCTTTGCCATTCAATTGAGTATTCTGGGAAAGTGCCAAAGCAACCATTGATATGTACCAGCATGGCTTTTCCCTCCCGAGCCCAGGTGACAGCATGCTGGACGCTGGGTATATCTACAAGTACAGCTCACAACCAAATGCCCTAACGCCTGTCTGATGCAAATTACTTCGTCAACAATGCATCTACTCGTCCTCTTCCTCGACAGCCGGGGCGACATAACCGGCACGCTGGGTAGGCTCAGATGCAATCTGCGTCTCAGTCGCGGTCGTCGTCGCAGAGGCGGGGAGAGGTTGTCCAGTGGACGCGGCGAAGGTGCCGCCAGCGCTCGCAGCGCCGGAGGAGGAGGATGCCTTCTTCTTCTTTCCCTTCTTGGGGTTGGGCTGTTCAGTGTTAGTCGAGCTGGGCATTATCAACTAGGGTTTTCGCGCGCTACTTACGTCGTGCCACGCCCACACGGGCTTGAAGCTGTCAACGAACGAAACATCCTCCCACAAGTTGGGGAAGAGCCAGAGACCGGGAGAGGCGACGAAGTAGGTAATGCAGAAGAGAATGACGCGGAAGATCGCCATCAGGAAGAACAGTCCTATTCAAGTTAGATTTATAATCATCTGGTAAAGTCTCGGTCTTCTTACCTAGCAAGCCCAAGAATCCCCAGCTGAGGTAGTAGACACCGAGACGGAGCTTGAGAGGCCACAGGGGGTAGCAGACGACGATGAAGATCAAGACGAGAGCAGCGAGAGCATAAAGGCGGGTCTTGACCTGCGATCCCTCGTAGAGCCAGACGTAGTACATGTCGTCTCCGGCCTCTTGCTGAGGCTCAATGCGAACGGTCCACAGACCCTTGACACGCTTCGTCTTCTTGGGGCCGTGGTCATGACCCTCATGGGGGTCAGACTTGACGACTCGCAGAGCGAGCATGGACATGGGCAGCAGCTTGAAGGTGTTCTCGAGGGAGGCGCGATCGGTAATCTCGGGGAGTTCGGGGTGCTTCTGGCGAAGCTTCGCGTAACCGGGGGCCTGGAGCGCACGGAGAGCACGCTTGACTCTGAACATGTCCTTACGCTCGCCGTTCAGGATACAGGTTCGGGGCTTGAGATCGCAAGTTCTCAAGTAGCCGGCAAGCGCGAGCGCCATGGGGTTCGGGGGTCCAGGCTGAATACTGCAAACATGTCAATTAGCGGATGAGATATGATGTCTGGAACCATGGGCAACTCACGGTCTGGCAACACCCTGCTGCTGCTGCTGTTGAGGAGGGCCATGCTGGTGTCCAGGGCCATGCTGATGACCATGGTGCTCGTGGTCATGGTTGTGCTCGCCAGCCTCTCCGCCCTCACCAGCCTGGGCCTGGGCCTCTGCCTGGGCTCTCTGGGCTGCCATCTGGCGTTGCATGGCCTCCTGGCGCAACTTGTTGAGGAAATCGGGGACACTCATGCCGGCCTTCTCGGCTGTTCTGGGAGTCAGTACTTTTTCGCACAATCGCGACCAGCGGAGAGCTCACCATCCATTGCGATCTGCCGGCGCATGGCAGCAATTTGCTCAGGAGACGGCTGCATAGGTCTACCGTCAGGGCCCATGATCATGGGCATTGGCATTGCGCCCGGCGGAGGGCCACCCTGTGGCTGTTGGGGTTGCGACATGTTGGCAAGTTGGACGCGACTAGATTGACGCGATTGTCAATGGACTGGTGTGCGTATGCGGCCGGTAAATTTGGTCAAGCAAGCGCTTGCGACGAGATGCGGCCGACTCAAAGAATCTGGCGACAACGACAGCCCAAGAGGTGTTGGTTGTAGAAATTGGAAGCCGTCGAGGTGTGGACTGTCTGTGGTCGTGGGCTTTTGGGTCTCGAGCAAAAGCGGCCCCAGCAAGCAAGCCAGGTGTTCACTTCGCCCAAAAAATCCGTGCAGGGGTAAGGTCCACACTCCAGTCCGCCCGCGTCCATAACGGTTCGGCTCTCTCTTTCTCCGGGAACCGTTATCGATAAGCCCTGCGAGCGCCAACATGGATGGTGCGGGTGCTCAGACCACACTCAAACCGGCCCTATCGTCTTTATCGTCCTTATCGTCGTCTACGTCGTCGCTGTCGTCATTCGTCTCCGGCCTCCGTCTCCGTCGTCATTCGTCTCCGGCCTCCGTCTCCGTCGTCCTTCGTCTCCATCGTCGCTCTTCGTCGTCCGTCGTCCTTCTTATCGCCGCTATTGTCCTTGCTGTCCTTGTTATGACCAGGCATCATTCTTATTGGACTTGTTGTTCTAATTTGGTTCGCCAGGTGGCTAAAAGTTTCCGGCCGGGTAGCGAATTCAGGTTCTCGTCGAACAACGATGGCAGATGCCTTAGGTAAGCTGAGTGTACTTTCCTTAGATGATCACGAACAAGTGGAGAATGGAGGGGTTCTCCAAGCGATGCCTTACATAAGATGAAATTCCTCAGATCCAAGCCCCTCCTGCTTGCTGGAGCTGCTGATGTCCCTCCACACTGTGGCGGTTTGCCCGAGACATTTTGTTTGCGCTAGAGTAACACGAGAAGGCCTGCGGAAGCTTCTCGTCCACCGGTTTTCTTCACAAGAGACGATGACGAAGGACTCCGCCACGATTTTAAGCAACGATTCCCGGCTCCTCATCCAGCTTGACTCGAGTCATCACCAGCCCGGCGACATGTTTCTCTTCAACCAACCGGACGGTTTGCAACCACTACGGGCAGAAATATCGCCGCGGGAATCAAGTGACGCTCATTCCGATTCCGTGAGGGGGATTATTATTAGAACCAAGGAAAGAAGGAAGGAAGAGGAAGGAAAAACAGGAGACGGAGGCAAATGCAGGCCAGAGCGGAGCGCTGCAGAACACACCACCCGCCCGCAGTCTGCCAGCCCAGCCTCTGCTCCCCACAACGATCGCGACCTGTCGCCATCATAAGCTTCCATCTGGCCAAGGCAGCCTGTCGGCATCGCCCTCCCCGTGTGTGCGACCCTTCAACGGCGATGCTCTCCTGCAATAGGAGACGCGCTGGTCTGCGATGGGTGTTATGATGGCACAGCGCATCCCCCCAGTCCGCCAGATAGGCTTCCCGCGTTCCCTCCCCCGTGCTACCCGCGGTGCCTTGCATGCTTTGATGGAAATTTTTCATTCGTCTGCCGTCCGCTCACGTTGGAACATGTCACCGAATTACTGGGATTGCCGTGCCGTTTGGGCGGCCAGATGGGCTGCGCCGCAGTGATTGGCCCGTCAGATTAGGCCGCTTCATTTCGCCCGACTGGAAACAACACGCTCGCTGCGCGGTTTCGAAATGCCATTCAGCCGTGGCCCTGTTTGTCAGTATTTTTCGACAGAGAAGGGCTCGTGGGGCCCAGCCCAGAATCGGTGGGAATGACAAGGGGCGGTGACGGTGACTGGCATCAAGCTGGATGACGGTTCGTTGACGGGCACGAGACCCTCCTTCGGAGGGGCACTTGTGGCAAGCTGCTGCTGGTCAAGCTGCCTCCGGGTAACCAGAGCAAGGCAGAGGTGAGACATCGACTCGCTGAGCCATCGTCTTCATCTTACACGAGTGGTGGAGTCCTGCAATCTGGTGCAGGATGGTGGTGTAGCGCCAGCCATCCGAATCCGACAGACCCCCAGCTTCCTAAGCGCCGGTTGGCCGGCCGCGTCTGGCCCCGTCTGCAACCCCGGCCTATCAGAGAGGCCCGTCCGCATCTCAACTGCACACCTCGCCGACAATTGCCCAGGCCCTTGTCCCTCCCATGTTCCTCTCAGCTGGGCCTATGAAGCAAAGCAAAAGAGCAAAACCTCTGGCTGGAGGTGGGCATTTGGGACACACAAATTTGCCAGGGAACGAACGCGGGTGAGCTTGGTCGGGCCCAAGTGCTTGCCGGGTATGCCTTAGTCGTGTGGTGGTGTGTACGTGTGTGAGTGGGCTCTCCTCTTCTTCTCATCTTGCAGGTTGCCTGCCGTCTTGCCTCCCGCCGCTGCATTCTCTATTATAACTCAATCGGATCACTTGGATCTTTGTTTCCTGCCGCCCTCTCTGCATCTTCCCTTTTCTGTTTCTGTCAAATCGCTGGCCGTCTTTCGTTATTTTGTGTTTTTACCCAATGTTCCCAGCGTTTTCGGCATGAAGCATCTTGCGAAGCAGGTATGAAGGGTTTGAGTGGCATGCTTGCAGACGTTTATACGACATGGCTGTCGCCCCTCACTCATTGTTGTACACCGTTGTCAACATGCCCGGACGAAAAGCCGCGTCAAAGTGAGTCCACAGCCCAGGCGAAGTCCGGCGCAGGAAAACATCATACATATACCTACCGGACACTAACCAACCCGCATAGACACCTTTGACATTTCTGAGAAACTGCCGTCCACCGTGACCCGCGACCAGCCCGTGCCCATGCCGCCGCCTTTCGCAGGTACGATGCAGAAGCCTGCCGGACCTCGCTCTCAGCCGGTGAAGTCGAAGGGAGTCAAGAGAGGTTTTGCATCGCTCCGGGAGCGGTTCTCTGTGAGAAAGCGATTTCGCTCAGACTCCTCTTCACCGCGCCGGCTACAAATATCAGGACCTACCGACTTCCGCCATCTGCACTCCGAGTCTTTCCAGTTTCCTCAGTACACGACTCTTCAAACTGTTGGCCAAACAATGCCGCCGCGGCCAAAACGTATATCTCGGACTCGTCCGGCGTCCTTCAGGCCGCTGGAGTTGAGCATCTACGTGCCGAAAAGGGAGCTGTCGCCCATCCTGCCTCACTTCGAGATGCTCACCCCGCCACCACCTGCCCGTGTTCAGCCAAACCCCGACGACGACGTCTTTGGGCCTTCGCATGAGCCGAGCTACTCCTCCATGTCATTCCACCTGCCGCGGAAGATCTCAATGTCGCCATCAACATTGACGATGTCTCCGGGCGACACCCCGCCGAAAATCCCGCCCAAGTCGAGAGCTCGGTCGCAAACGTCATCCAGTGTGGAACGGATGAAGGAACGCATTGCGGGTGCCATGCTGGAGGTCGACAAACTTCAGCGGGAGATCGACTTAGTCATGGAGCGTCAGAGCATTTACGTTAGCAGTCGACCTTCGACAGCTCATTCGATGGCACTGACAACGCACGGTAAGCCCGGTCCATGGCCCAAATTTAGCAAGTCTCACGGCGCTGACCAAATTAGACATGGATCCCATACCCACCGTCCCCGCGCTCCCACCAGCCGCACCCTCGTTTGCAGAACGCCTGAACCCCGGGGTCGACCGCCCGCATACGGCGCCGCCCCGGCCGCCGATGCATATTCCCCACCGCGGCATGGCCTTCGCCGATGCCTCTGCGGCCTTCATCACCCCACCCCCGAGCCGCGGCAGAGAGGCCCGACCGCCGCCGCCCCCGTTGCCGCTCGTTCTTCGCCCGCCGCTGCGCAAGAAGAAATCCTTCTCGCGCGTGTCCAGCTGGCTGTTCCCTGGAGGTGCTGCAGAGCAGCACCATCGGAGCATCAGTCACGATTCCATCACTAATCTTCCTCGCCCCGTCAAGGGGCGCGAGGGCTTCTACCAATGTGTCCATGCGCCGCGGGACGGGCGCACTAGTTTTGACACGGCGTCGACTGTGTCGACGTGGGAGTCGGAAGACGGAGGCCAAACGGTCCCGACGACGTGGTCGCCCGGCAGCACCCCCGTCACCAGAGCGGAGGAGCACCCGCCGCTGGAGCGCGTAACCACCTTTGGAAAGGAAAAAGGCACGATTGCCCCTCGATGGGGCAGCGTCGGTGTGGCGTTTTGATGAGAGCGGTTTTACTGTATTCTTTTTGTCTCACATGATACCAAATGTTTGCTCTGGGGGAGGGTGACGATGATACCATCCATATTGTAAAATCATACCATGGGGATAGAGGACCGGGGCGGTTACCTATTGTTTTTTCCGGATACTTAATCACAGTGGCGCCCGGGATGGCCAAGGATACTGAGAAGGGAGTGAATGAAGAAACGTGTCCACGTCAACTTGTTTGTTTGTTGTGTCTCGGTGTCCATGTGTCTCGCGGTCATGTTGCATCGGACTCTGACGTGTCTTGGTGAGAGTGACGGTTGTTTTCTCCGAGCAAGGCTCCGACTGAAACGGAAAAAGATCTCGGAGGGAAGATCAAACAATGGACGCCTCTGTTCAACCGTCTGACTAACATTTCCGATCCGAGTCTCGAATGTTCGGTCGGGGTGGGTCCGACGGCAGTTATCAATGACAAAGAGGCCATTTGGCAGCTCTCCACTCGCTTAAATGAAGCTTCATCTGAACTTCGTCAAAGCCCGGCAATTTGGTCTTCCCCATCGTTCAGAGTTTGACATTTCGTATTGTGACGCGCGCCATCCAAAAAATGCCAGATCAACAGAATTAGGACTTTGGCGGCAGCGTTCTAGAAGGCGTGGGAAGACCGAGACAAGATACAGTCGAAGGTTTGTGGCTTGCAACGGCGATTTACACGCAGTGGCCTGAGGAATGATGGATGGAAGGCATGGCGCATCAAACACCGAGCAGCGAACCTGTGTAGAGATGGCGCAGGCGAATCAGCGTCTTAGATTCTGGCCAGATACTGGCAGGGGATCGTCGTTCGATCCGGAAACCCCAGAACCGAAGGTGCCCCTACGCCTTCCTCTTGCATGCAACCCTGGTAAACCCCCCATTGGACCTTGGACGCCTCCGCTTTCATCACCTCAACATCCAGACCAATCCACCTTATATCAACAGCATATATTCCAGCCTTGGGGCAACGTTGGGGAAGGAACCTTCCCCCCCAAAACAACACTTCATCTTTCCCTTCGCAAACCCTCTAGCTTTCCGACATTGATATTGGTAACTTTATCCGACAATCACTTCGACGATGGGGACCGGATGCTGCTCGGATGGCCCTGCCAAGGGTCAGGGATGCAGCGGTCCTTCGACTGAGGTTCAACACGGCCATGACCATGGACGTGCGTATGCCCACGGCCAGGAAACCGATCCTTGCTGCTCCGACGGCGCAGACTGTGGTGGTGCCGAAGAAGTCGCTTGCGTCGACGAGGATTGCGACGCCGACACCTACTGCGAAGCCGAGGACGACTCGACTTGTCGTTCCGTGAAACTCGAATGCTGCACTTCAAAGGAAGAGCACTGCGACGGTATACACTCTGTGCCGGTTCGACATGTCCTCTTCTAACTCGGTTACACAGAGAAGTGTATCCTTGCCGCTGCTGCCGTCGAATGCGAGAAGGCCTGTGACGACGACGCTGCTCACGACGGTACGTGTTACACCTCATGACTAGTGTTTGTCTCAAGACTCATGTCGCTCTCAATGTAGCCGCTGCCGACCATAAGCATGCTCACGACAAAGATGGCCATCACCAGGGCTCGGCTTGCAGCACTCATCTTTCCAAGGCCTTTGAGCAGTACAGCGCCTATCTCGAGTCGGCTCGTTGCATCTGCCGCAGCATTCTCGATCGCGGTCTGCCGACCACTTGCTGCAGCGAGCAGCAAACTGTCGCTGCCGCTGCCGCTCCCGTCTCGGCTGCCACCTCCGTTAAGAAGCGCCGCGAGAAGACCGAAGCCCACACGACCGCCCATGCTCACGGCCAGCACAAGCATCATCACCACCACGGAATTAAGAGACGTGGCAAGAAGCTTGCGCACGATCATGACATGGAAATTAAGCCTGTCCGCGACGACCAGTCCGACTGCTGCAGCGGACACGATGTCCACCTCCCCTCCGCCAACAAGGAGCAGCATCATCAATTCGATGGCGCTGATGTCGAGAAAGGTGCCGGATTGGAGCACGTCGCTCTCATCGTCGACGGCATGACCTGTTCTGGATGTGGCAACAAGCTTGAACGTGTTCTCAAAGCCGCCCCTGGCGTGTCTGGCGTCCACGTCAACTTTGTTATGGGGAATGCAGAGTTCGACTTTGATAGCTCCATTGGCAAGGCAGAAGATGTCATACGCAGCGCAGAGCGAGCCACGGGCTTCCACTGTACCCGAATGTCTAGCGATGACCAGGCGCTCGATATTCTCGCGTCAGGTGGAGCTGCGAAGGCACTCGCCGACCTCGCAATCCTTGGGGTTAGCGACGTCAACATCATTGACAAGAAGATGGTCAGAGTCACCTACGACCCAGCGGTAATCGGCGCGCGAACTCTTTTTGAAAAGATTGGCCCCCTGTCCAACGGACTGGCTCCTCCCCGCGATGACCCATCTGTCGCAAGCGGAAGAAAGAGAATGTACGACCAGTTGATCAAGACAGCTGCGGCTGCCATCCTCACCATACCTGTCGCAGTCTTTGCGTTTGGTGAAGATTCACTGAAAGAGCAAGTCAGCAAACAGGCGCGTTCAATCACTTCCCTTGTGCTTGCGACACTCGTGCAGCTTATTGCTGTGCCAGAATTCTACAAGCCCGCCATCTCAGCCCTCATTCATAGCCGGACCATTGAGATGGACATGTTGGTTGTCATCAGCATCACTGCTGCCTACCTCTACTCCGTTGTCGGCTTCGGTTTGCGCCAGGCGAACCCAAAGGCAGATGTCAAGGAGTTTTTCGAAACCAGCACTCTGCTAATCACCCTTGTCTTGCTTGGTCGCCTCGTCGCCGCCTATGCTCGCATTCGTGCTGTCGCCGCCGTTTCCCTTCGCTCCCTACAGGCTTCTTGTGCCGTCATTGTGGAGGACGGCAAAGATGTCGAAATTGATGCACGCCTTCTTCAGTATGGCGACAAGTTCAAGGTTCTTCCGCATTCAACGGTACCCACGGACGGTCTCGTCCTGAGTGGTTCCAGCGAGGTTGATGAATCCATGCTGACTGGAGAGAGTGTGCCTGTCTTCAAAAAGCAGCACGACACTGTCATCGCCGGTACCATCAACGGATCAGGCACACTAACGGCACAACTCACCCGTCTCCCGGGGAAAAACACCGTCACCGACATTGCCGAACTCGTCGAAGAAGCGGCAAACTCGAAGCCAAAGATTCAGGATATTGCCGACCGTATTGCCAGTTGGTTTGTACCTGTTGTGGCCAGCATTGCCGTCGTCGTGACCATTGTCTGGGTGGTCATTGGCTTGAAGGTTTCGAAAAAGTCAGCAGGCAAAGCGGTAGCTGACGCCGTTACATACGCCGTCGCTGTTCTGGCCGTGTCATGCCCTTGCGCGCTTGGTCTCGCTGTCCCCATGGTGCTAGTTATTGCAGGAGGTATCGCCGCGAAGGGTGGCGTCGTCATTAAATCGGCCGAATGCACAGAACGGGCGCGCAAAGTGACTGACGTCGTCTTTGACAAGACCGGAACCATCACCGAGGGTGACTTGGACGTCCAGGAAGAAGATTTCTTCGTCTCTGATCACGACGAAGCCCGTGCCATCACCAAGGCTCTCGTTGCAGGCAACAAACACCCCGTATCCGTCGCCATTGCCAAGCATCTCGCACAGCGGGCTACCCCTGAAATTCAGCTCACCGACCCTCAGGTTATTCCTGGCGCTGGTGTTGAAGCCAGCTTCAATGAAAGCAAAGTTTGCGCGGGAAATCCAACGTGGGCTAAAGTTGACTCTTTGCCCTCGATCAAGCGTCTACAGGATGACGGGATGACCCTTCTGGTGGTCACTCGAGACTCTAACCTCATTGCAGTTTTCGGTTTGCGCACCCGTCTCCGAAACGAAGCAGTCAGCGTTGTCAACCAGCTCAGTCGACGAGGCATCAACGTTCACCTCGTTTCTGGTGACCAAACACGCGCTGTTGAGTCGGTTGCATCGCAAGTTGGAATTGTCAATGTCGCCGCTCAGCGAACCCCCGCCCAAAAGCGAGACTACGTTGCTTCGCTCATGTCCGAAGGCAGGCTGGTCATGTTTGTCGGTGACGGAACCAACGACGCCGTGGCAGTCACGCAGGCCGATGTTGGTGTGCAGCTTGGCAGCGCCGCCTCAGCAAGCGATGTTACTCGTGGGGCCGCGGATGTGGTTCTGCTCGCAGGTCTGGAGGGTATTCCCTTCTTACTTGATGTCAGTCGCTCCAGCTTCAGACGCATGATGTTCAACTTTGTGTGGTCAGCCGTGTACAACGTTCTTGCCATCCTTTTGGCAGCCGGTGTGCTCGAGCGCTACAATGTCACCATCCCCCCTGCCTACGCTGGACTGGGTGAGATTGTCAGTGTGTTGCCCGTCATCGCAGCCGCCATGACGATGATGACAAGGAAGGTTCGGGCTGAAGCCTAGATGTGAGATGTTGAACTCGTGCACTAGCCTGGCTGCCACGTTCAACACGCGCGGGCTCAGGCGGAGATTTTTCTTTTTCGTCATCGCCGGTCGGTGGCGGCTGTGATGGGTAAAATGGGGCGGTTCAACACCTGATCAAGGGCGTGGGTTCTGCTGGTCGATTCGTCAACGTTTGCTTCACTTGCGGCTCCTCCGAAACTGGGCGCACCAACAAGGTCGTACTGTCACTAGAGCGTGTCTGCTACACCTCACTCGACGTGAATTATACTTAGTCGTGATTGCCTGGAGGCTGCTACTCAAAGTATACGGCGAGGGCTAACAGCCTTCGGGCACTAGATCACCAATACAAGACTGCAATCGCTAGTCGCAAAAAGACTTTTTCTGTACTCGTGAATGTTCTTCTGTGTGCCAAGTTCAAGTCGTGGCCTCACTGTTGGCTATACAGCCGTCTTCAAAGGCTGGTAGGTTTGACTCAGTGATCTGTTGTCACGGTCGTTGAAGTCTTTGTGTGTCTTATAGGAGAGGCACTTAAACATGGACGGTGTCTTACAGCCGACCCACCAGTCGAGAGGTCATGGAAGCAAACAGACATTAAACAGTGGTCTGATTTAACTCGTAACGCAAATCAACGACGATGGGCACCTTTGGCCAGCCCATGCCAGCCTCATCCCATTCCAAAATCACAAAACACCAACACGAAACCGTCAGACTCACTTCCTCCAAGTATCCTTCGTAACCTCAAAGTAAATTTCACCGTCGTCGCCCTCCTTATCGCCAGGCTTCCTGACCCCGACCCAGCCCAGCTTCTTCTCGACGAGCCCGACCATGGGCAGGTTCCTCTCGCTCATCGTGGCGCTCACCGCGTCCACCTGCAGCCCGCCCTCCGCGACCCCTCTGAACGCAAACTCGACCGCCAGCCGGATCGCCTCCGTCGCGAAGCCCTTGCCGCGGTACTCCGGGTTAAGCATGGCGCCCACGTCGGCGACCCTCCGCTTGTTTCCATCGTCGGCGGTGGACTCGTTGATGCCACCGAACCCGCCGAGGCCGATCACCACGCCCTCGTCATCGCCCGCGTTGGGAATGTGGACGATGGCGAGGTTGACGCGGCCCGGGCCGCTGGCGACGGTGCCGGAGGCCGGGTCGAGGACGGAGGGCACGGCGGCGCTCTCGCGCATGCGGTCGATGACCTTGGCGGCGACCTCGGGGGAGATGGCGGAGGCGTGGGGGTCGAATTTTGTGTTTTCGGGGTTGGAGAGGACGGCGGAGATGGCGGCGGCGTCGGAGGGGATGAGGGTGCGGAGGAGGAGGGGGTGGGTTGTGGAGCGGAGGAGCGTGGGGAGGTGGGATGCTTGGGTTGGCATTTTGGCGGTGTTTGGTTCTGGGATGTGCGGAGTCGGAGGTTGAGATGGTTTGCGTTAATTGGCGTTGTGAGATGAGATGGAAGGGTGAACTGTGACTGATACTCTGAATGATTTTCTCGATTTCTTCATTTCCATCAAGCTGTCCGACAATCACCTTTTGTAATGTTAAAAAGATCACATCTATCGGGAGATTTGGCTGGTTCCCTGGACACGGAATCCTTCGCACCCACCCACACCCATGAAACCTCGCAATCGCACCTCATCCGCGCTGGCGCAAGATCTCCAATGCCAGATTCAGCAAATCTCAGTCCCAACTCCCACCCTAACTCACTGGTCAACCCCGTAAAACGCCAGACCAACCCAACGGAGGTGAAGGCCGTCGGGGGACCACGCTGACATCAGCCGGGGCCGGCCCTGTCCGTCCAGGAGCCAATTGAGTCACTCACTCCAACAGGGCGTAGAGTATTAGACAGCAGCAAGTCCCACCTTACTAAAGGATCCCAATGCCGGCCTGTGCTGTGCCTCTTGTCCATTTCGAGAAGGTCGGTAACTGCGACCGCCAACAGTCGTTTTTCAGTCAATCAGAGAATGAGTCTTTTTCGTTGCGGGGAGCACGAAGCTGAAGCCGAATTCCCGCGTCTCAGCTGCAACCTAAGAGTCATCGAGTTGGCTCTGACTCAGACAAGAAGGAAGACTCACAAGTGTGCTTGTAAATCAAAAAGTTCGCTACGTCGGTTGAGTCAAGTAGACCCAATATCAATTACCCAATGCGAGGCCATCTATGACTTTTGCTCTATCTAAGGTATGTGCGCGAAAGCAAAGCCCGCGGGGTAATCCACTTGGATCCCCGGCAGGCGACCAAGAACTCCGCCTCTTCCCAAATTTTGAACTAATCATGCCTTTCTAACCATGCTTGCTTGCGATGCCAATCGTGCAATATCCAAAGTTTGCACACCCGTAAAGTCGTGTCGTGTCGTGTCATTATATCTCGTCAAAAAAACAATAATCACCACTGGTCGGGGCCAAAGTGAGACCCTTCTGGCACTGTGTTGTACGAGCAGGCCTGCCAGTCGCAGCCTTTCTTGTAGATCTCAGTTCCCCAGTACTTGAAGCCCTTCATGTGCCCCGGGTAGATGAAGCCAAAAAAGATGACGACAATGCCGAACGCCAGGCCCGAGTCTAACGCTGCGCTCATGGTCATCGTGTACTTGGCCCACCACGCACTCTTCCTCCTCTTGATCAAGTAGTTGAAGACATAGCAGACCACCGCCCAGACAGAAAAGTTGAGGCCAGTCGCCGGTGGAATCCATGCCATGGAGCCAAAGACGACGGGCAGGTTGATCTTGCGCACAATGCTGTGCTTCTTCTTGCGACTATACAGCCACAGAGGAATCGGCATGATGGCGCCGATGAGGAAGCACCAGACCAGCCCGCGGTAGGTTGCATTCGGCCCGAAGAACTCGCCCGGACCGACCACGCCCCAAAGGATGGAGCCGTTGAAGTGCACCCTCGCGATGGGGCACGTGAAGCCATTGACCGCTTCCGATGTGCAGATGCCCTTCACCTTGGCAAACATCCAGTTGAGCACGCCGATCTGTGTCAGGGACGACACGATGGTCGCAACCATCTGAACGGTGAACATGATTCGTGGGGGAATCTTCATGTAATGGCCCAGCTTCAGATCAGAGGCAAACTTGATGCCCTGTGCGGACGAAATGTACCCGTAAGTTACGAACACCATGTTTGCAATCGGACGTCCAGGAAAGACGACACCGCAGACGAGCTGGCAGATGAGGTAGATGCTACTGTGCTGGTTGGTGACAGCCATGATGATGCCGTTCGGGATGAAGAAGACGGCGCAAATGCCCAGCGCCAGGAGTAAACCATACCACGGCAGATGGATGGGGTAGCTATGAAGGTTAGATGGTGCTCTACACATCGCCAAAGGACACTTACAATTCGACCACAAACATGCCAACCGCCAGCATGGATACAAAGGTCACCATGTACCACCACAAGGGCGCGTCCTTGTACCGGTTCATCAACCGACAGTGCACATCCTCTTTGAAAAGGAAGCCATCCGGGCTGGAGGATGATCTCGAGAGACCTCCGCTGCTGTTGAATGATCTCTGTGGCCTTATGCTCTCGGGCGGGCCGCTGGACACGGGCTGGTAGACCTGTCCCTCATCTCGGGCCTCCTGAAGAGCCGTTTTCCAAGTGTTCAAAATGTCCTTGCCATGCCAGCAGAAGGTGTGTGTCAGCAGCGCCGCCAGAGCGGCAAACTGTACACCGTAACTGAGCACATACGTAATGGGCAAGAATACTCGGCTGTACTTGCTATAGGCCTCTCTGTCGAAGAGAAATTCGGACGTCAAGATTTTGCTAACATCGTAGACGTTGCCCGTGTTGTCGAATACGGAAGATGACAAGATGGGCATGTAAGACGAATAGAACAGATTGGCGTAGTAAGCGATAGGGGCGATGAGCCACATGACAATAACCAGTCCGCCAATAACGTTCATGGCGGCCCAAAAGGGGACTAGAAGCGGCGAGCCGATGTAAGTGATTTGCGCCCAGTCAAAGGTCAACGGGAAGAGACCCAGGCCGGAAACAACGCCAAAGAGGTTGGCGACCACGACGTTCTTGGGCGCAATCCAGGTGATGACATTGAAGTAGCTCAGGCATGGCATGAGCAGGCCGGGCAGGAAGTAGAAGGCAAAGGCGCCAAACCACACAATGAAGAAGAACTTCCACCTCGAAATTTTCCATCCGTCTGCAATCATATTCTCCTCCTTGTGAAGAGTTCCGAACATGGCAGCCGACATGAGAGTACCCGGCCAGATCATGCCGCTGGGTCGCACCAAGAAACGGCGCGTCAGGCCGGCAAAGGCATACCCGAGAATCTGGGTTGAGAGAATGAGGAGCAGCTGGTAGGGGATGGTCGCTTCTTGCTTATAGAACATGGACTGCTCGACAATGACATCGGTCGCAAAGGCAAAACCGAACGACACATTGCTGCTCACATAGACACAGGTGTGCTCCTTCTCGTTCCACCGGCCTTGCGCCAGCCACCTGCGCAGCCGCGTCAGTCGATTCTTCGGGGGTGATCCGCCGTCCGCGTCAGGCTGAAGAACACCGTCGACAAACTCTTCCGGGGGGTCGCTTGGAAACTTGAGAAAGTAGTCCCACATGAGAGCTAGCGGGTGGACGAGCAGCAGGGCGATGACGGGCGTAATAGCAACGCTAGGGTATCGTAACGAGAAAAACAAGTTGGTGGAAGAACCGAGTACTGAAAACAATACAGACAGTGTCCACATCCTCGGGGTGCTTATGGACAAGGTGATGTTGTCTGTTGGGGGCACAGATGCGCGTACGACCTCGTGCGGCGAGTTATCCACAGGATCATCGTCGGGCTCGCTGCCAGAGAGGTCGTCATAGTCCACCTCTTCGCCAGCCGCATCTGACTTTGCATCTTCGAGCATGTTTGTTGTTACGGTGGTCTGGGTCACTCCGAAGCGGCCGTCCAGGCCAGTGGCTAGAGCCGCAGCGTCGACGTCCTCTGACAGACGGGAGCTTTGTCTTGAGGCGGCAGAATACCTTGACGAGGCGGACCTGGTGGTATCGGAGACGTAACGTAGGGGATGTGAGTTCCCCGTCCGGGAGTCACTCCCGGTGGGTGACACATTGCGACTCGGGTCGTTGGAGACGGCGCCGTAGGACGGAGCGTCGTTGCGCGCGGAGCGCAGGAGGGAGGGTTTCGAAGGCATGGGGCCGTCGTCTAGATTCGGGGAGGGAGATTCTTGGGCCGGATCGTTCGTATCGTCAGCATGTTCGGCGGCGCTCGACAGGACGGAGGGACGGCTTCGGAGAGTAGACGGGTTGGACCGTTGGTGGCGGGGGGTTGTGTTATATGGGTCGTCTACTGCGACTGGAGGGGTCGATGAGGAGGGTGTGGACGGCCTTGAGGTGTCGATGTCGTGTGTGGAACCAGATGCAGATGCAGATGCAAGAGGCAGAGTGGCTAGAGGCAAGGCAACCGTATCGGCATCAGGGTCAGGAGGAAAAGGCGCCGCGGGCTTGCTTTTGTGGCCAGAGGGCTTTATCAGGCTCATGGCTATTCAGTCAAGGTGCCAACCGATGCCGGTGGCAGTTAGCCCAAGGCGGCAGGAAGAAGGAAAACGACTGGGTCGGGACCAGAAACAGGACCAAGAAGCAGCGCAGCAGGCGACAGGGAAGAGGCGAGTTTGGTGTGAGTGGACTGGACTGTGGACTGTGGACTGTGGACTTGGTGGGGTGGCTCTGCTCTGGTGTCTGGTGTTGCTGCTCGAGGTCTTCTCCGTGTCGGAGGGGGCGTGGTGTGAGCTAGATTGCTAGTGTAGTGCGGCCCTGCCTTGTCGTCGGTACGGGACGGAACCTTGTCGTAAGTGTGCTTTTAGTTGGCATATAATGTTCGGATGCTAGGTGTAAAGTCGTCTGGCCGATGTGTCCGACGTGGTGGTTCTCAGGTCGTAGTGTGATGTCGGTAGTTCGGGCGTGTTTGGTGTGTATGGTGTGTGTGGTGTGCAGTTGGCAGTTGCCAATCGCGTTTTTTGGGAGCATTTGTTTGGCCAGCCGGCTGTCTCGCTTGGAGACGGGAAAGCTGCTGGGCTGGCTGGGGCCGCGCAGGACGCTAATGGACTTGGTGTGGACACTTCCAGGGGGTGGGAGCCACAGCTGTGCGTTGGACGGGTGGGCGATGACGGACTTGAAGAGCCCTCTGCCAGTAACGATGCGCGCAAAACGAGTGAGAAATCAGAAAAGCCTCTCTTTCTGATGGTCAATTGGCAGAGAGAGATGGTCTCCCTCGGGCCTCCATAGAAACCCCAGCAAGGCTCGATGACATCGAACATGGTCAGCCTAGGCCTGCCTCCCTTGACCCTGTGCTTGGGTGCGTTAGTGCATCCATCCATATCTATCCAGCACGCTCGTCAATTGTTACCTTCAGCTATTTTCAGGGACCCAGGATGGCTTGGCTTCTCTCTCTTCTTCTCCTCTGTGTGCGCGCGCACTCAATTGACTGACCGTCCGTGCCAAACAAGATGGGGCAACATTCTTGACTCGGTCCACCTGGACCTGTAAGCATCATCACCACTGCAGCTCCTCCGAATGTCTTACTCAATTCATCCCCCTCGACTAGCGGTAAGCCTTGAAAGTTGTGACTCCGTCGCGGTCAGTACCCCATTACAAATGCAAACAATACTACTGGCGGACGTCCCGAGACCGATGCACTTCTGTACCTGACGGGGTGATCCAGTGGGTGTGCTGCCCCCGTTAATGAGGGACTCGGCAGCCGGCGATCCAAGGCACTGGCTGCAACGTGCAGCCTCTTGCAGCTTGCAGCATGCAGCCAGCCCAGTAGCTCGGACGCTGTAATCGTACCTTACCTCCTAAGGATTCCTCCCTAGCCTTCTCGGCTTGCCTTGAGGCGAGTTTGACTCGCAGCCCGCAGCCAGATGGCAGATGTGCATTTGACGGGTGCACTTTTGATGCCGCTAGACAACGCGAGTAGGCCGCAGCAGGCCAGGCCGGCATACAACCCAACTACCTACACTGACATGCTTTTTAATTCTGAAGACGCTGAAGTGCCATTCGTCTCTCAACTTGATAATGAGGGGTACTCAGGGACTCTAAACGCACAGCTCAGGATATGGCTTCGTCAACATGTCATCAAGACAGGATTGAAGCTACTGGCGGCGGCTCGTACGGGTAGCGCCAGCGAAGGCCTCCAGTCCCTTTCCACTGGTAATGTCACCAAAGAATTCCACTAGTCCACTTCCAAACCATCGTGCCGAAGCAGCCCTGCAAGGCCGGTGTCGTCGATATCAAGATGGGGGGTCAGTTGAGGCCGTGCGCTGCCAGGAACAGGCTGCGGGCTACGGCGGAAATGGAAATGTTGGCAACAAAACAAAGGGAAACCCGAGGCGTCGTCCGTTTGGAAAAGACTTTTAGAAGTGCAACACTTCCCGAGCACGAGTTGCCTGCCGATCAGATTAGATAAGCTCGTTGCATTTTCGCTTCGGACCGCGCTGCCTATTGGATAGCCATTGGGTGGGCAGATCAAACCCAGGACGCTGTCACAAAGGTCCGGGATCCTGCCAAGATGCTTCTGCTGCTTCTGCCGCTTCAGTGCAGCTGCTGGCCAAATCTTCATCGGCAGACCGTCGCATCTGCATCCCTCTCCGCCGACTGTGCCGCAACATCCACCCTCAGAACGACATCCGGGCCTGGGATCCGACTTCCTTCTTCACGCCTTCTTGTCTAGACGCTATCTTTGCTATCGCATCATCACATCTCACTTTCAGCCTTCAATCGCGCCCATTATGTTTTGCTATCTCAGCCTCGCAAGTGGGATACCGAAACCAACTTGCCAACCTCCAAAAGTCCCACGCCATCAGCGACAATGCTTGCGCTAACACGATCTGGCACCTGTGGGTTGCACGCATGAACCCTAATTCCAACTCGGAAAGAAATCCAACAGCCAAGAGTCTGTCATGCTACACTTTTCAGCCTCTCTGTCAGTTTTTAGCAATCCTACGGAAACATTGCGCCTCACTCACTACCCTATCCCGGGATCCAATCTGGTAAACTTCCAAGGCGGTTCTGCCAATTCACAATAAGCACATCCATTGCATGCGCTTGCGGCGGGTATTCAATCTGCTGGCCAAATCTGCCATCCTCATGCCGACCTCTCCATCCATGATCCCTGCCCGCACTCACTCGTTCTCTCCTCCGGCCTCACCGTCCCCGCCGCTTGCTCACCGACCCGAATCGGCGGTGACACCCCGCTGTCCCTCAACCGCACGACAACATGGTCCAACAGACCGAACGCTCGCCCGCCCAACCACATTCGAACAACAGCCCGGTCTCCCCCCTCTTCAATCGCGATCCTGATCGACTTTCGTCATCGCCCATACATTTTACCCGCCATCACGCGCATATACGTTTCCCCATCGTGACACGCATATGCCAATTTAATCTCACTGCTTGGAGGACCCCCGCCTCTCCTCCCGGGCCGTTGCATGTCGCAGCAATCTTTGCTGTCCAACACCAATCCACCAGTCACCATCTCTGCCCGCCACCCGTCGCCCGACTTCCCAAACCACACCGCTCATCACATGACGTCCGCGGTCACCGTTTGTACCTCGTGTGTCCCCCTATTAGCTAGCGTCGTTGTCTTTTCCGGCTTGCCCACGCTTTTGCGGCGTGTCTTTTGAGTTTGACAGGTTTGACGACGCGCGTTTACCCGGCGGTGACGCTGCTTGCGGCGAAGCCGTTGCAATCTCTCCACGTGGTGACGTCTCTTCCTTCTTGCCGCGACCCTGGGACCCTTTGAGCAAGAAAAAAGTCGGGAGGCTTGTTGTTGTCCGGCATTGTGGCTGGGCCTTGTCCTTCGGTGGCTGGTCGGAGTGGGGCCGGCCGCCGTGGGCGGGGCTCCGAAGCACGGATGACCCCTCCGGCTCCGTATCTCATATGCTATGTGTTGTGACAATCTCCATCTTTCCAACTGCCGAAAGCCACAACCAACAACACTTTTCAGGAACAACGATGCCGCATGCAAGCTAACCACTCAGAGCCTCAAAACTTCCCTGGCAGTGGATTACGGAAATCGAGAGCCCCAACAAGGGTCTTCGCGAGTCTACGAAGCCAAACGTCTGCACATCAATTGCACCCATCGAGTGTAGAAGCACCATCGGATTGATACAAACATCCGCTTTCGTCACAGAAGTGTGCTCATTATGACTGCAATGACTCAAGACTCCCATACCAAAACAATGACAGAATCCAAAATATCCTCCTTATGTTCCTCGTCATCCACTTCACGCAAACCCCCTTTCTTCACATACATTTGCACTACCTCCCCCTCGTCCCCAACAACGGCATCCAAGAACGACCAAACATTTCTTGTACCCCTCCACGTGATGATTTCTTTGGGCTCATCCCTCTCATCGAGCACAATCCCTTCTCCAAGCGGCAGCTCTGCCTCCAGACCATACTGCATGGCCCCCTGAAGCACTGCACCACTTGACATGGGCTCGACCTCGAAACCTGCACAGTAGTGCGTGAGAGAGTATCCGTTAACCAGCACCCAATCGTCCGCGAACCGGAACCGCTGCAGGAAGCAGGCCTCGCCGCAGACCGAGGTCACGAGGTGGCCTCTGCTGGGGCTGAAATGGTGTCGGGACTGGGAATGTCGGAGGGCGAAGGGGGAGATTCCCAGGTCGTATGTTGGCGCTTGCATATGGTACAGGGCATCTCGCGGGGAGTAAAAGCTCGAGAGGACGTGGAGGGGCATATCGGTGTTCTTCGTCACGCACTCGTGGAGGGCGCTGTCCCAGGTTGAGGTGTTCGCGAAGGGCGGTCTGTCGGGCGAGAGACACGGGAGCTCGGAAACGATTTTCGCAGCCGGCACCGTGAAGAACACGGCACCGCCACCGTGAGTGACGGCTTCCTCGTCCTCAACCGACCAGTCTGGCCGTTCGCTTGGCAGCCCGATGTAGAAAGGGTCTCGGGCATTGAACTGAGAAAGCTTGGAGATGAGCTGTCCTAGAGTCGGGAAGAAGATGTCGTCTTCAATCAGCCCGAGATACTTCCTTGTCTGACCGTCGGCGGTCAACGCTTTGTTGACCTCCAGGAGGATGTCGACGATTTCAAAGTGCCTCGAGACCTTGTCCAAGTCGTCGTCCAGCATCAACACCGTCGCATCGATGCCGGTGTTTTTGAACTTGTCGTGCGTCTGCCAGGCCTCGCGGATGGACGTGTTGTAGAGCGCGACAATAACGCCGGCTCCGTTCGAGTTGCCGTGTCCGTCAGTAAGCCATCGCTGCCAGTCTCTGATGAGGGAGTCGTTGGCGTGCGAAAGCCGGTTATACGTCGTCGAGACGCCAAACAGCAAGTCGGACGCATCTACATCATTGGGGAAGATGCTGATTGCCACGGGCAAACATGTATCTCCGTCTTTGTCCAGGGGCAGGTCCTTGTCGTCCCAGTTGATGTCCACAAAGTCGCCGTCCGCAAATACCTTTTGGAGGTTTGTCATGGAGCGCCGGCTTGAAGCTTCCGGCACGGCCCGGATTCTCTGAGAAAACAGGGAGATATTTCGTGTGAGGCCATGCCTCTCGGCGAGCACTCTCAGGTATGTGTCAGTATCGGTCTTCTTCGTCGTCGGACTCGCCTTTTGTGGTTTGAGCACCGGCACCAAGGGGTCCGAGTCAATGATTTCGTAGGCGTCCTGACGACTTCGCACTAACTGAATCAGAATAAACAGAAGAACGAGTAAGAAAGTGGCTGCATGTAACGCCCTCGCGTGGTTGTGGTAGGCATACATGGGCTGCATCATGATGACTGGAGATGGATGGGGATTTTGCACAGACCCAATACCAGTTGGGCCCAAGATTATGGAGAAAGAAGCACCACTTGAAGCAGATAGAGTTTGCCCGTCTTTTCTAAATGAGAAATAGCCATCCTTTTGAGGGGATCGCGCGGAATGTTCACCTCGATAAAGGGATGGGCAGCGGAATTCAGCTGGGTGAGACACCACCACCGCACAAATGCTCGTGTGTTCTGACGCGAGCCTGATAACGCATCGAAACACGATGGACCCCGAAATAGGATTTTGTTTCGCAAAACATTTCTATCAAGGCATGCGTAGACGGTAGTTCTATCCTCATCAACTTTGTGGCGGTTTGGGGAGGAGTCGAGCCGCTTGGCGACACGCCGCATTCCTCGAACCACGCGATGCACTCCTCTCCCTTCCCACGCCCAGAGAGAAGTTTGGCGTTGAGCGCACCAACGTGCTCCCCGCCATGGTCAGTTGCGCGGTAACGAACAACCAAGTTGCATAGTGTTCGAAGCTTGAGATCCTCATTCATAACTTGAATAGCAGTGGCTTCGGCATCGACCATGCGGTTGAAGAGGCTCTTTGCCAGGTCCTCGATTTACACCCACCCGACGTCTCGCCCTTTTCAGAGAAGATCCACGGCATCCGGGGTCCAAAGCGCAATCAAACTCGGGCCGACGGGGAGGATGAGGGGCCATCAGTTCATGAAATGCTTCGGGAGGAAGGGATGTGCGACCCGTGAAATGTGAGCGTTTTGGGAAGTGAGTGGTTGAATGGGATGAGAAGGTGATTCCGGGTGATTATCTAAGAATCTTCTTTCCCGCCGAGGTTGGCTGAGGGTGATTACCTACCTTGCCTTCCATTAGTTTAGTTGGGATGGCGGGCTGCCAACGTCAGTGCTTCCCGGCCTCCCTCAACCACACCAAAGGCCTCACCTCACTTTCTGCCGCAAAGACCTCGACGGTGACATGACAGCTTCTGTCGTACAACCCCTCGCCCAGCACACTACTGAAGACTTAAGTCTCTTGGCGTCGTCGTCTCTCACGTATGACCTCTCGGAGATATTCTCAACATCACACGAAACGCTCTCACTTCTCCACACACTTATTTCTCCTTCCGATGCAGTGCCACGGAGCAGTGGTGCAGCGGCGTCCACGACGAGTTTGCATCGAGGGCGAGCGGTATTCGTAGAACCGTTGGATGTGTGGTTGCACCAAGTGAGGCAACGCTGTCGCCTCCTCAGGTCAGTACCACCGGACCATTCGTCGTCTCTCCGCATATCATCACTTAAGCTTCGCTGCCTTCACTCAGGTGGCGGGACAACCCTTACCCTTCGAATTTCTGGTGTTGGCCGGTCGCCTGATCTGATCGTTTCGCGGCGGCAGGGATTTACATTAGATTTCATCTCCCCAACGGCTAGCCAGCCTCGAAAGCATAGGGATTCAAGAGGTCCATCCTCCTTGACAGAGCGTTGCCGATCATCGTTCGTCCGGCTTCGGGACACGAGAGACATCTCCCGCGCGGCCTCGTTTGCCGTCACAGACAGACACATGAGCAGCGGCCGGCTTCGCCTTTGGCCGCGCTGCGAAAAAATGTGAAGCTGTTATCCCGCCCGCCCAAGCTACACAACCACGCTTTGCCCACACGCGGCGTGCTACCAGCTGCCGTCTTCTGCATGGCAAAAGAGCAAAAAGTCTTCCGGAGTCGATGCGTACAGCCGCCACTGCATCACTCTTTGCGTCGCACCGCGCATGGCGAACTCGCCACTTCTCTCCTGTCACTATCTGCGGTGTCACCGAGACAGCTTATGCTCCATCTGAAACTGCAATGGTATAGTTGTCACTTATTCTTTCACAACCCGTAGCCTGCTCGTTTTGGATTCTTGCCCAACTACAGGAGCCTCAGATAACCCTGCCGGATGACCTAGCCGTGGCGTCCAAACACGGCAGCGTTCGTGAGGAGCTGGTGGGGTTCACCCATTTCCCATCAACCATCAAGATGGGGAAATCTGGTCAAACGCCCAAGTGCCAATTCGCCTTTGCATGCCAAGGATTCGATCACTGGTGGTCGTGCTCTTGCCCCTGTCCCTGCTATGCGACTTGGCTATTCCGTTGAGAAGCGGCCCCATTCAGCTCGCCATATCTCCGTTTGCAACGACGCTTGGCCAGGGATTCGCGACCGCGATGGGGTCGACTTTTATTGAAAGTAGCGGTGCGCGGGAAGCCGCATCAACTTAATGCCTAACCAGGTATTAACGCAGCACTAAGCAAGGGGTCGTTGACTCGACCATGACCAATGCCGCTGTCCATTCTTCAACGTACCGACTTGATGCTATTCCCAGCGTCACTGCAGCAACTCGGCCGAGACGCGTGAAGGACAAGAGCAAAATTGCCAATCTTGGTCCCGGCTTCCAGAATGTCGTCCAGACCCAACCCGCTCATTACTCGAAACCATCTGCTCCCACTTTACCCAACAACACATCCATTCGGGAAACCCAAACGCTAAGACCTCTTGAAGATAAGTCTACGCACGCAAGAGTGTGGGTTGTGCTTCCAGATGGAGCGGCTTCTTGTGCTTCCCATCGGACATTTTTCTTGTGCTTGTACGCCTGCAAGCTCGTGGGGAGGACAAGGACCCTAAGGTGACAGCTGCGGCCACCCCTCCCCAATGGCAGCGATACATGCATGCTATCATACCAGACTTCTCGAATGGCCTTGGAATATCTGACGAAGGACATTGGCTTGACTACGGATATGCACATAGGCTGGCCACAAAGGAAGTGGCCCCGGCTCTAGCGGTCTGACGAAAGACCAGCCACCATCGTTGCATAAAATGAGCTGTATGGTATTCATTGAAAAGGGGCCAGAGCTCTTGAAGCCTGGTTGACATGGCAAACCACCATCCAATGCAGCCACGACCCAACATCGACAGCATCATCTCCCCGTCAAATGCTGGAGGGAAGACGATCCACGTGTGTCGAGTCAAGTTGACGTTGCCCTGAGATCTTCAACGTAGCAGGAGGACCAGCTTTGTTCCACCATCTCGAACAACCATCTAGGTTCAATGGCCGGATGGCACTTTATGCAGCTATCCGCGAGCCCACTCTGAGAATTTCACCCCCGTGCGCCTCCAAACACTGTGCCCTTGCCTGTTTGGTCGCTGCCGCTGTTTTGCACTGGCAAACTGTCCAGTGACTCTGATGCCTCTGCAAAATGAGCAGCGAAGTCTGCTGTGAAGCCCCTTTCGGACCAGCACTTGAGTTGGTGGCATCTGATGAAACCCGCCTAGTCTCGATCTCAGGCCTACAGCGGTCATGGGGCGTGAGCTCAGCAAGACGGAAGTCTCTCACTCCCGCATCTGACCCTCCTCCAATGACACGGCTTCTCCAACCATTTCCAGCCTTCTTGGCAGAGTTGCGGAGACCGCTGCATGGAAGCTTCCCCGGGGCCGTTTGGCACATCCGGTCTTCCACTACCGAGACGATACATCCGGTAACTTTGTGGCCAAAAACACACGCAACCTCACAACTTCTCGACGTAACATCACTTGATCAAACCTGACCTCGTCGACAGTTACTTGGAAGAAACATATTAGGCCACGACCAGTCGGCGCTCCACGTTGCCTCCTCCTTTCTCTATCAAACCCATCATCTCTCACTTCGTGGCTTCACCTCGATACGGCAAAAGAAAGAGCGGTGGCCGAGCACAAACGGAGCCTTGGATGCTGAGAGGTCGATTCCAAGACACCACGACAAAGAAATCTGCACCGAGAGCGCCGAAACTCAGGCAGTAAGCCCCCATCCTCCTCCTCCTCCTCCTCCTCCGAGAGCCCCCGTACTGGACTGCAAGCTCTGTTGCAGAACTCGGATGCGTGTTCCTCCAAGAAAGACGACAATCTCGCGCCCCTTGTCCTGGAAAACTTTTGCCAGCGTGCTGCACGTCCGTGGACGGTGAGGCGCCCAACCCCCGGAACGAAGACATTCAGTGTTTGTCGATTGCCCAAAGGAAAAGCCTGGGGGTGTTGTCTGCCCGTCTTTCTCAACAAGTCTCGCTTCTTCCTGCAGGACTTGTCTTAAGTCTCCCATCTTTCCCACCCCTTTTAGGGAACAGGTTCCGCCTGGCCGCCTGTTCATCAGGAAGGAACCCTTTTCCCGCATCGCAGCATTACACCGCTTCCAAGACATCCTTCGCACTTTTACAAACAGGCCGGCAAGATGCTTTCCGTCTCTTCTCTTCTTAACCCATCATCCCCGGGGCCGCTACCTGCTCCTCGGTTCCTTCCAAGTCCAGCAATGTCCTCGCCGGGAAGCTGCTACGCCGACAGACCCTCGCCGCCTTACTTGGACTGCCCAGTCATCCCCAAGCTCAAGATGTCCAAGGACCCGGTCCCGATGTCCAAGTACAAGCCGAGAGGCGTCATCAAGTATTACCCATTCGAAAGCGTTGACGAGCTGAGCCGAAGAGAGGTGATGAGATTCCGCGTCACCCCTTTCGGCCGAATTCAGGAATCTTGCGCCCACATCCCTTACAACAGCGGCAAGAAAGACTTCTTCGAGAAGACTGGCCGGGAAAGCTTTGAGGGTGAGTTGGTTTGCGTACTCAAAACTTGCCCTTTTACTGACGGGGCCCCTTAGTTTTCAAGTACGAGTTCAAGGTTCCCGGTGAGGATAACGAGTTCACCGTCATGTGGGACTACAACGTCGGTCTCGTTCGCATGACTCCGTTTTTCAAGTGCTGCAAGTATTCAAAGGTGAGCTTCTTCATATTCGTTGCAGTGACGCAGCTAACAGGTGGAAGACTGTACCGGCAAAGATGCTGAGCCTCAACCCCGGCCTCAAGGACATCACCCACAGCATCACGGGAGGCGCTATTGCTGCGCAGGGTAAGATGACTCGGTCTCCCACGTATCAGTCTCATGCTAATGAGAACAGGATACTGGATGCCGTATGAGTGTGCCAAGGCCGTGTGCGCCACATTTTGTTACAACATTGCCGGCGCCCTGATCCCGATATTTGGACCCTCGTTCCCGTCCATGTGCATCCCTCCCGGGTCCCCGGACTACGGACGCATGGTCATCGACCACCGCATCGTCGAGGATGCTATCAGAGAAGCCGACCTCTCTCGGAAAGTCCAACACCACGGTTTCCCTTCTGTCGGCCTGAACCACCTGCCCAGTATCGATCATCGGCCAATGCGTCCTCTGCGGGACGATAGACGACTCCGCCTCAACACTCGTCTGATGAGCCCATACAGCGATACGGATGGAGACGCCCGCTCATGTCCCGACTCGGCCTCAAGCAACGGCTCGGACAGCGTCAGCTACAGCTACGGATTTCACCCGGCGCCGCCGCCGCTGCGCCATCCGCCCCCTCCCACATCTGGCTGGACGCCTGCCAACCGCCCCGCCGAGCCGTACCGTCTGGTCGACGAGAGCTACCGCTCACCCCACCCCTACCTGAGTGCCGTTCCTCGATTCACCCCGTTGAACAGACACACCACCGCACCGCGTCCGCTATGGCACAAGCGGCCCATAGGCCACGACGAGAGCGACGGAGGTCGTGACAGCGGCGAGAGCACGCACGGCAGCAGCCCGGCTCTGAGCTACGTGTCGGAGCAGCGGCGCGAGGACGAGTCTGACGCCGAGATTGCCGAGCAAAACGCTGCTCTTGGACTTATGACGCTTCGGACTGCTCCGCGGAAGGAGCCTGGGTACCTTAGCGACGTGGACGGCCAGGACACGCACCGCAGCAAACGGCGGAGAGCCACTTCGGCGTGAAAAAAGCATGGAGAACGGGAGAAGTTGATGATATGAAAAGAAAATACGTGCTGTAGATTCCTTGCTTTCGCTCGCGCCTTTGTAATGTTTCTCTTTGTGGACTTGGGGGCCGGGGTTGGGTTTAGACTATGACGACTCAGGTCGCACGACGATTTCCAATGTATTCAGGGGTGGGTGAGGTGGATTGTGGAGTGTTGATGATTTTGATGAAAAGTATCTAATAACCAAAGCCAACGCCAATGATTTTTCTGCCGTCGTACCAATCGTGATTTCCCGTTTCCCCCTCTCTCCCTTATATCGTCAAGTGGCTTAAGCCGTCTACTTCTTCTCCGCCGCCTTCTTCAGCTTAAACTCCTCAATCCAGCCCTTGGCCTTGGACGCAGGCACAATGTAGAACCTGACAATACCGTCCACGACCTCGACATTGCCCCCGCTCAGGACCTTCAGCAGCGGCGCCTTCTTGCCGACCTTGACCAGGCCGCCCTTCACCGTCTCCATGTAGCACTCGACGCCGTCCGGCGTGTACGCCCGCTCCTCGTCCCACGGCACCGGCAGGATGTACGCCAGGTGGTCCGCGACGCACTCCTGCTCGTTGAACGCCTTGATGAAGTCGCTCTCCAGGTGCACCGGGTACAGGAACACGGCCGGGAAGCTCAGGCTGCTCGCGGCGTCGTCCTCGTCCGGCACCAGCCGCATCCGCGCGTCCTCCATCTCGGGCGGCTGCGCCGTCTCCCGCGTGCGGATCGTCCGCGCCGCCAGTGCCGCCTTGAGCAGCATCGCCCGCCGCTTCTCCTTGGCCGCCCGCTCCGCCTCCCGGTTCGCCTTGGCGTCGTACCGCTCCGCCGCCGCGAGGATGTCCCGCGCCACGGCCTGCAGCGCCTTGTTCTCCGGGTCGATCGCCATCCCGCGCGCGCACGCGTCGTCCGCCTCCGCGATGCGCTCGACCTTGAGCAGCGCGCGCGACGAGCGGTAGTACGCTTTCAGGTTCTTGGGGTTCAGCCGCAGCGCGAAGCCGCAGTCCATCCAGCACGAGCGGTAGTTGCCCAGCTCCAGCTGGCACGCGGCGCGGTTGACGTACAGGCTCTCCAGCACGGCCTTCTGCTTCGCAATCTCCTCCTCGTCGTCCTCGACCTCCGTCTCCTTCTCCTCGACGACGTCCGCGTCGCCGGGCTTGTCGGCCTCGGTGACCTTCTGCGTGCGGTACGTCTTCTCGCCGCGCGCCCGCGCGCGCTCCTGCGCCGCGAGGATGTCGATGCCCTTGGTGTAGAATTCCTTGGCGTCGGAGAACTGCTTCGTCTGGAAGCGCTCGTTGCCGCGCTCCTTGAAGTCCTCGGCGTTCTCGCGCGGGGTGCCCTCGTACGCGAGCGCCTGCAGCGCGGCCAGGTCGTCGTTCTCCTCGAGCTCCGTCATGAAGAGCGGCGACTTGTTGAGGTCCTTGAGGATCTCGTCGGCCGTCTTGCCGGAGAGGAGGGCGTGGCCGGGGGGCAGGGCCGCGCCGCGGTTGGCGCCGGCGGAGGCGGAGGCGGCGGCTGCGGCTTGTCTGCGCTCCTGCTCGGCGATGAAGGCGTCGGCCATCTGGTCTGTGATTTCGTCGATTTGCACCATTTTGGCGGCGCTTTTGGGTGTTTCGCAGCTCTGTGTTGTGTTTTTGGTTCTGGCAATAATGGTATTTTGGAGGAATGAGTTTGCTGTGATTTGATTGGGTGTTGCCGCGGATACTCTATCTCACTTGAGATGGGTTGTGTGACGCCGTATGACTCTTTGTGTGAGTGAAAATTTTGGGGGTGAGTGAGTTTCCAAGGTTGAGTGGTCTTGCGGTGGCGATTTTCATTGGGTGGTGCGACGCCCCAATTCTGGAGTTGACGGAGAGGTTTAGAAGTCGATCGAACTTCAACTCAATCCGATCGTCACACATTCAATCTTCTTATTCGCACAACTCGTAGAAACGTACAATGTCTGCAGAAAATCTGAGTCACGCCGTGGCTAGTTGCAATGTTGAAACAAGTCAGTTCTATTAGAGCGCATACGCTATGTCAACTGGCTTTCCTCTGCGCCTAAACCAATGCAGCCTAACTCCAACCCAACCAACCATGCTCGCTTCGGCCAACGAGGGATATCTGGTCTATACGAGGCATCCGATAAAATCAACCCGTTCAAACTCCGTCATGCGTGAATCCGTATCCTTTGACGCCGTCATGTGTTCTTTTTCCAAAAAAAAATCAAGCAAACTCCCCTTCTATCCACCGCGCTATTTTTGCTGGATCGTGAAAGTCTTTTGAAACCCCGACCGACCTCGTTTCGGCACCCCTTTTCTCATCCAAAATTTGTCGTGTATTTCGTGGCATTCATTCATGACGTGCTCATTCGGCATCCGAAAACACCTCCGTGACTGTGACTCGGGACTCCTTCTTGCGCAGGATGGGCTGGGCGTCCTCCTCGCACATCTCCTCCTTACGCTGGCGCTTCACAGAGAAGCACTGAATAGCACCAATGACGGCGACGACAGCGCTGCCGTACCAGGCAAGAGCCGTGCAGTCGACCTTGCTTCCAGTCGTGTACAACCATCCGGCGACGGGCGGGGCAATCATGCGGAAGCCGGCGGCGGCGCTAGCGGCCAGACCGTTCACCTTGCCGAGAGCCTTGGGAGTCGGGGTGGCCTCCTTGATCAGGATCAGGAGTACTGGGTAGAGGATGATGGACATGATGTTGCGGATCGCCAGGCAGAAGTAGATGCCAGCATAGAGCATCGATTCGGGGACGAAGAGCAAGCTCGGGACCATAAGGTAGGCGATCGGGTGGAGGACGGTGACGATGATGAAGAGGCGGAAGATTCCAAGCTTCTCGGCAACGAAGGGGAAGATGACGGCTTGGACGAAGAGCGCGATGACACCGTTGACAGCCATGATCATGCCCACCGCGCGGAGGGACAGACCCAGTCCACCGGGGGAGTAGAACGGGCTCGAAGGGGTGGCGAGGATGGACATGGGGTTGGCCGTGGCCCGATCGTCCTCGAAGAAGATGGGGAGAAGGTGGTCGTAGGTCATCGAGTGGTAGGTGAAGATGCAAAGAGCAGCAATCAGCGACATGATGGGCTTCGTGTAGATGTTGTACGGCTGGTCGACCTTCTTGGCGGCAGCCTGAGCGTCACGACCGCGGACGGTTCCGTAGTTGTCGTCTCTCATGTCGACAGCGGGCCTCTTCATGGCATCCATGGTCTCAAGCAGGGGAGTCTCCTCCGACGCAAAGGTGTCATCCGGAAGGAAGACACGGGGTTGCATGTCGGGATGGGTCTCCTCCAAGAGGAAGTAACCGAGAATGATGCTGACGAACAGGAGTGCGGCGCAGACCAGGTTAGGAAGAAGATAGGGGTAGCGGTAGAACAGGCCGTCGACGGGGAAGACGTTGGGGAAAGCATCGTGGGGATCGGCAAAGGTTCCGCCAATAAAGGGACCGATGATTGTGCCAATGGACCACACAAAGGGCATGACAGAGAAGGCGCGGGCTATATTTGTTTAGCGGGACGCCTAAGTGAGGATGAAGGGGATGGTATCTTACGCTCGTGCTCTGGCTTGGTAACCAATTCTCCAACCATGGTCTGGATAACACCGATGTTGCCGTTGAGAAGGCCACCGAGGGCTCTACCTATCAAGGCGATCCAGATGTTGGAGGCAAAGCCAACCATAACCATGCTGAACATCGTGCCGATGCATCCCAGGAGCAGTACGGGCTTGCGTCCGATACGGTCAGACAGACCGCCCCAGTACATGCCCATCAGGGCCTCCGCGAGGGAGAAGGAGGAGATGAGAAGGCCGGCGTAGAAGGATGCATCTTCGGCGTTGCCAATCTCGAATCTCTTGACGAGTGCCCAGGCATAGGGAAAGATGGATGTGAGGGCGATGGGCTCGGCAAGACGGACGATGGCTGAGAATGTGGTGTTAGTAATGGAAACTTGTTGGCACGCGGGAGTGTAGGTCTCGAGGCGTGGTGAAGAATTCCAGCGATGGAAGAGGGGGAATGTAAGACTCACCAAGGAGGAAGAACTGTGCGGTAGGGAAGTCGTCTGGGTTGCGAAGGCTTTTCTGCTTGGTCAGGGCCATTGTCTCTCGACTTGATTCAAGTCTTACGATGCGACAGAACACTCGACAAGAATCTACAGGAACGTAGGGACTGGAAGAGTGCAAAGTCGAAATGCGTGTATTGTGCTACACGTTCCTGTTCTCCTGGTCCGCCGGCGGTTGAGTCTTATACGACACAGAGACACAGGAAGAGGCGGCGTCCGTTCTCAGATGATGACGATGGAGATGAGGAAGAGAGGAATGAAAAGAGGAATGCGGCAGCGAGCGGGAACAGGAGGGAGGGGAGGTAAATATTGACTCCTCAACGTGGATCCGTGTACGATAACGGCGTTTCGGGGGAGCTTGATAGAGGCGCTTGCAGAGGCCCGGGGTGCGAGGTGGAGCTAGAAGAAAAGAAGGATGGCGGATGAAAGCGGGAAGCAAGGCCCGGCGAGTGCGTGGTGAAGCACGACCAAGTGGATGTCTTGTCTTGGTGGGAGGAATGCAGATGACGGGCGGCGGAGTCGAGGAGGAGGAGGAGGAGGAGGAGGGCAGCACACTCGCTCATGGATGGTTTTTTTTTTTTTCCCCTTCTCTCTTGCACTGACTGATACGACCGCCCGACTTACACCGTCCCGCCCCTCGGCACCAGCGACCAGCGACCAGCACCAGCGACGCACACAGTGCAGTGCAGTGTGAGCAGCTAGGGTACGGCAGGTGGGTAGGTAGGTGGACAGGTGGGGCGCAGATGGGAAAATGCGGTTTCCAGACCGACGGCTAGGTAAGGTGGTAGGCAGGGACCACGGCGGCAACCAGGTCTGGCCACACCTTGGGGCAGGGAACACTGCCAGGAAGGTCTCTCCAGTGCAACTCGAAGCTGTCTGCTCTGCTGGGTCTGCACGCTGCAGAGTGTGAATGCACGGAGCAGCTCAAGCACCCTGGCTTAGGGTATGCAGATATGGGGGATGGCACAGCGGATTCGGCCTGGGATACTATCATAAGTGGCGCCCGGGATCTTGCGCTAGCTTAGCGTCTCTCTCGCAGCGCACGGGCCCTGGAGGAATTCCCGCTTGCGAGCTGCGCTAGTTCCTCATGCAGTAGCGCACCTCGACGGTGGGTGACTGAGGGAGTTGGGGAGGTCGTATGTGTGAAAAATGGTGGTGTGTGGTGGACTTTTTCTTCCCCTTCCCTTCTCTTCGGTTCCTCAGTCATTGCTGCAGTTACTTGATAGCTGCAAGGCAAGGTCAAGGTCAAGGATGGTGCGGCCGGCTGTCGGTTCCTCGGACGGAGTAGGGCGAACTAGACGACGGCACGGCTCAAGCTACTCTTCACCTTTTTTTCTGCTCCCCTTCTGCCCCTTCTTGCCTCCCGCCCGCTGACCATATCACACGCGCATCTGTCCAAGGATCTTCCAAAATCTAACGGGCAACTTGCGCCTGTCAACAGTCTAACCACGCCAATGCCGGCTGCCCGTGGTTGGTGATTATCTTCTGCCCCTCCAACATTGGTCGATGAGTTGTTTTCCTGCGACACTCGAAGGGGCAATTGATTCCCACCGAAATCACCGGTGCTGGTGCTGGTGCTGGTGTTGGCGTCGGTGCTGAGCGTGCTTTTTGACATTGGCACATGCATTGCCATTGGCGATGTTGTCCAACTCTGACCAAGGCACTTTCTGCTCATGTCGAGTCATCAAGTTGTCTCGTCGTGGATCGCCAATGTCACCAGAGCAAGAACAGAACACCACAGCGGATGAATGCCGATTGTTCCACGCCAATGCCGGGCCTGGTCTGCTCTGCTCTGCCCTGCCCCTCGTCGTGCCCGGGTGTCACGATCTCACCGCAAGGATTACGGGCTCAAACCCAAGATTCTGCATGACACGGCCGACATGGACTGAGAAAAGACGACGAGGCTCCACGGATCATCAGTTTTGGAGTGGTCCAGACGGTCTTTCTCGCCAGTCTCCGGCGGCTCGTTTGGCTGCGAAATTGCTTACGCTGCGTGCCCCTGCCGCTGCTGCCCACTTGCCAAACGTTTCCTTGCTGTTTTCCCCAGTTCATGGCCCAATTCTGCCATGGACCCGGATGCTATTGGCTGGCACCTCCGACCACTTCAGATGGCTTGTTGGGCCACATCACCCCGTCCGGAGTCCTGAACGACCGCACTGTGTTGCTGCTCCAGTCAGTCTCGCCTGCAGCTTTGCTTAGCGTACGCCGCATCCTTGTATCCGAGTTCGTTAGTCATTGAGCCATCTCATTGGGCAACGCCCACAACTCCTCCGACTCGAATCAATCCCTCACCTCCGTCACCTCTTCTCCGCCACCACCAAAATATTCGTCTCCCACCTTCGACGCTCGTCTTTCAATGCGCTACTGCGACGCACCATGTGCACACTTCAGACGAGACCAGACGGCTGTCGCAAATCCACCGGGAGGATGGGAACTGTTCACGTCGCCTGACAGCGACCATTCCAATTTTCGTCACAATCTGCGAAACCAATGCCTGCTGTCACGTTTGCTCTGCCGTTGCAACAAGGGCGAGGAGCATCACCCCTCTGCACACCTCCAATTTCCCGTTTCAAGGACGGCCAGCCTCGAGCAGCCACCTTTCCTTGGAATCATCACCAACAAGATGCGGTGAGAAGGGGAGCCAAACGCATGACGATGTTGTGGAACCGTTCCAAGGTTCAGGTCACCCGCAGCGGATGGACGAGGGCTGAAGCGATCGGTGCAAACTGTAGGAGATCTCGAATCCAATATCAGCTAGGCTCCGGGCATGGTTCGAAAAGACGGAGAGCAGAGCAAATGCAACTGTGGGCGAGCGGCAGTGTCGACAAGGCCGGGGCAAAGACCGTGGACGGTGGACTGTGAACTTCGGACTAGCCCATCCATCCATCCATCCACTTTGCAGACCCCAGCGCCGCGCCGACGTCGGTCAGCCCCAGTCCTGGTCGTCGCATCTTGTCCTTGTTGACAGCCTGCACGCTCGCACTCCCTGCTGCTCTGCCCCTCGTCCTGCCCTCTCCGTTCTCTCTATCTGCATCTCTCCCGAGTACGGCCACCACCACACAAATCTTTGCGAGGTGGATGCGACGCGCCGCTATCAAATCTCCCGGACTGCAGCTTCTTCCAACGCCAACCGGCTGCAGTGCATCCTGCATCCGGCCATCCTGCAGTGAAACCAGCAGAGCAAGCAAGCAGTCGCCTCATTTCCATTCACGAGTGGCCTGCCGACAGATCAGATCACCAGGACTTGGGCCTGCTGCGTGAATATCTTCTCCGTCCTGGTCGCCTGCTAGATAATGCTGACCAACAGCACGCACAGCAGCACCGCCTCGGGCCTTATCTCACATCTCGCCCATCTCGTTCGACCGGCATGAAATTATGCTTTTCGCCCTCCCTCCTGGTCGACTCACGCACCACTTCTTAGCGCTGCCCGCAGCGGAGTGGAGACGGGAGACGGAGCGCCCACATGCAAAGCTGTCCCAGAATACCGTTTAGTTGCATCTACGGCTTATCCTCTTTTCTTTCCTCGGGAACACGCTCGCCGAACCTCCTCCATCCTTTTCCCAACACGAGTGCTGGGCCGACCATCCAACTCCACCGACTTTTTGGCCAACCTGTCCTCCCTCCCACCATAACGCCCTCACACCCATCTGGCGGACTCACGCCAACTGCGCATTCTCTCTTCCTGATTAAAACCATCTTCGCAGACAAGAACGTCGTCAAAACACCTCCCTTTCGTCGACGTTGAATCTGTTTCTCGCCGCCCCGCAGCTCCATCTGCAGGCATCATGTTCCGGCCGACCCCCATGACAGGGTTCTTTATGGGAACTTGCGCTAGTTCCCGTTTGGGATCCTTGGGGGGGTGTGAAGCCCGTGGCGAGTGGGGTGGGTGGCACTCAGCCGCCAACGACACTCTTTGACTTGGCTCCTCCCGCACGTGTAGAAGAAAACACTTTTGGATCACCGCCTAACTAGCTAGGCAACAAAGACTCAAGCTGGCGGTTGCTCAAAGAAAGCCACGAAGCATGTTTATTTTTGACTCTAAGCGACACGAGCGCGGCAAGCTTGCGCTCCAACGTCGTCTCTCGGTTGGCGCCGATCTTGTCGACGCCCGAACTACCAAGTGGTTTGTTGTCACCCAAAAGGTGTGTGTTGCGGCAATGCAAAATAGTCGCCACCTCCACGCAACCCATCCGCAATCAAATGCCGACCGAATCAGAAATCCCGCAAGCTGCCGTTGGATTTGGCATTTCGAGATCAGTTTTTGATTCGGGACTAAGACGCCCTTCAACGGCCAAAGACAAGGGTGTGCCATGGTACCTGAAGTTGTGCTCCACCACCCCCGCGCACGCCATCCTGTAAGGCTCTGACGTTCTCGCGAACCCCCACGCCTTTACGTCGTCGCAAAGAGCCGCTTTCAACGTCGTCTCATGTTTCTTATTTAAGGTGCTTTGCGTCTTTTCTGGCGTTTCTGTGATATTCTATGTGATATATTCATCCTCCTTCGCAATCACAGTGCTCGGCGTCGCGTCTGTGGGCATCTTTATGTCAAGCGGACACCTGACTCGAAACATGGTATGCGAACCACTGCTTCTTAGTCGTGTGTTATCGGGTCGATCGGGAGCACGACTCCGCGCAAGCGCCGTTGCATGTCACCTCGTTCAATTTGCCACTGCTGGAACTTTTACTGCCAACCTAGTCCAGAAGAGCATGATCATCATCTGTTTTCGACCAAAGCACGGCAGCAAGCTTTTCCCTCTCACGCGGCCTCATAAGATACACAGGCTGTAGCATGCTTGACGATCTCTCCGGTGCTAACACCTAGTAGATAGCGTGGTGCAAGGTGCCATTGGACGTTGCCGATCGCTGTTCTTCCCATGCCGAAGCGTGTCGGTTCGGCTTGCGCCGGTCCTAGAACCATATCTCTAGCGCCCAGGTATCGTGCGGTTGACGGAGCTGCATTTGAGATTGTGCGTGACGTGAGTTGTGTCGTATGACGTAGTTTATATGAGTTGTGTTACATCGCGGTAGCCGACGTCG